GGCTAAAAATGCACCCTTCTCCAAAATAATCATGTCTGCAGTAGCACTGTGACATCGTTTGCTGAAGAGTGATCTCCTGCAGAGTTTTGGTGGCCATGCCTGTGTAGATGATACCCAGGTTGGCCTCTGGTTTTGGCTAGTGCAGACACAATCATTTTCTGCTCCTTCAGTAGTAACCCCTACGTGCTAGGTACGCTTGGATGAATGTCGTGTGTGCCAAAGCAGTCTCTTTACATTAGTGAACTCACCCTTTTCATCATGTGGAGGAATGGCAGTGGTGGTGGTCTTTTAGGGAGAACTTTATGGAAGACGTGTTATTTAAGCTGAGTCTCACGTAAGATGAGTGAGTGCTTGCTAGGTGGTGTGTCAAGAGGGAAGGCCACATTGGGCAGAAGCAGCAGGGTGTTTGAGACTTGGGGAGAGCAGCATTTGCTTGAAGCAGCGTCAGGAGATGGTGCAAGAGAGCTAGTCGGGGAAAAGGCGATGTTTTGACCATAGTATTCCTATGCTAGGGCTGTATTTGTACTTGATCCCTTAGAGTACCTTGATGGTCTGAGATAGGCTATCATGAAAAAGAAGAATAAGGGCAATGTAATAGGTTGTACATAAATTTGGTTAGTTTAAATAATTGAACGTTGAGAAGAGATGGTATTCAGTGATCTGTTAGGAAATGATTTTTTTTTTAACGGTTGGCCACCTGAGCTAACAACTGTTGCCAATCTTTTTTTTTTTCCTGCTTTTTCTCCCCAAATCCCCCCCCCCCCACCCAGTACATAGTTGTATATTTTAGTTGTATATTTAATTGTGGGTCCTTGTAGTTGTGGCATATGGGATGCCGCCTCAGCGTGGCCTGATGAGCGGTGCCATGTCCATGTCCAGGATCCGAAACAGCGAAACCCTGGGCCATCGAAGTGGAGCACGCAAACTTAACCACTCAGCCATGGGACTGGCCCCTGTTAGGAAATGATTTTGAGAGCAGATTGCAGTTTGGAGTTTGTTTTAAACGGTTGTCAGCCCTGTGTGAGGTGATGCAGATAGAGGATGGGAAGCCATGGAAGGAGTTTAATCTGAAGTGATGGGTGATTTGAACTCTACATTTTCAGTCCAGGCTTCTTCTGTTGTCTTATTACCTATTGACTTGTCAGTCCCATAGATATGTCAGCATCATTGATTTTAAATTTATCATCATCTCCCTTCCATCCCATACTGTCTTGATTTAAGGTTCATGTAGCCAGAGATAAGCGTTCTCAGATTCATTCTCGATTTCCGACCTCTGACTCCTACACAGAGCTGGGAGTCCAGTTCAGCCCCCTCTCCTTCATCCTTCCCTTTCCTCCCCGGCAGGCACGCTCTCATGCCTCTGCTGCTTCACATGCTTTCTGCCTCTGCTGGGATGTTTTCCCATCTTGTCATCATCTTGCTGAACACAAAGATTTCTTTGGAATTCACCTTTCCTTCTGAGTGTTCTCTGGGTCACTGGGGCAGGTGGTACCTGTTCTTTCTCTGTGCTGTCTTATACTCTGTGCATACCTCTGTTAAAATGTGCACTCATGAAGGCAAGGACCGAGTCTGTTTTATTCAGGCTTTATTGTTAGTGTCTAGAATTGTGTCTGGCCCACGGTAGGTAGTCAGGAAATAGGCTTCTTTTTCTCCCACGAAACTATGCACCCCCAAATGGAGACATTCTCTGAGGTGGGGAATATAGGAAGAGGCTCTGGTTCTGGTCTGGAATTTGGTTACAAGTTCAGGTGCTACATCTTGACAATTTACATAATTTCTATTCATTGATTATGTACTCTATCCCATTTTTTCTTTCTGTGCTGAATTGAATTTTTATGGCAACCTTTGTGTCCTTGGTCTTTTTGATTGCTTAGTTCACCTTTTCTGGACATTCTGTATCCTCTGTTTTTCAATACCCCCTGCTCCCCGTGCTTTCTGAACTCATGCCAAATTTTGGTGATCAAAAAATTTTTTCTGTGGCCTCTCCGTCCCCACTAGCCTTCTTTCTGTTATACCTTCCAGCTTATGTATTACGAGGACAAAAGATTTTTTAAATTTCTCAAAATCCAAAATAATATGATCATATCATACTTAATGTTCTTTTTCAAAGTAATTAGCACACCTCTTAATGGCTTAGGCTCTGGACCTGTCTGAATTCAGATCTTGGCTCTACCGCTTTTGAATGTCAATTTTCTCATCTGTAAACAGGAAAAATAATAGTACTTACCTCAGAAGGTTATTCTGAGGAATACATGAACTAGCCAAATCCCACGTTTAGAAGGTTGCTTAGCATATGGAGGGTGAGCCTTCAGTCTGAGTTTCTGTGTTGCACACGTGTTCTCCTCCCTCTGTCCTTCCTGTGGGAGGGCACAGTGCACGGGTCTAGACAAATCAGTGTTGGGAGCAGCTGGCACTGTTCCTAGAGTCGGCTTTCCAGTGTGACTGACTTGATGTGTGGCATGAGTTGACCTCTCCCTGTAGACCTTTCTCTTTTCTCTGTAAATATGTAGGCAGCAGGAGTACTCTGAAAGAAAGGCCTTAACATTCTTTAAAATACAGTTTCATTGTTGAAATCGCATGTCAAGTTTTGTGTGTGTCCAGTGCTTTGGATTTGCATGCTGTGCTTATTTTATTACTTTTATTTATTTTTTATTTATTTTTTATTTTTTTAATTTTTTTAATTTTTTCCTTTTTCTCCCCAAAGCCCCCCGGTACATAGTTGTATATTCTTTGTTGTGGGTTCTTCTAGTTGTGGCATGTGGGACGCTGCCTCAGCGTGGTTCGACGAGCAGTGTCATGTCCGTGCCCAGGATTTGAACCAACGAAACACTGGGCCGCCTGCAGCGGAGCGCGCGAACTTAACCGCTCGGCCACGGGGCCAGCCCCTATTTTATTACTTTTGAAATGAGCTGTCTTTTAAGTGGGAAGCTTTGTAGCCCTTGCACGGGTGAGAGAAGTAAGCTGCACATTTCTATGGTGGCCAGGTGCAGGGATTTTAGTCTGCAGGTGATCGAAGGTGAGGACTATCCGTCCTCGGCACGGACAGCGGTGCCTCTTGTCCCTCATGGCTCCTCCCTTAGCATAAGCATCCAACTGAAAGGACAGTTTCTGAGAAGTTCTCGTCTGCAATTAGAATCCACTTATGCTTTTTGGTACTTAGTACCAACTTTGATTTTTAAAATACTGCAGCCTAGGTACTGTGTTGCGGGTATCCAACAGTGCCTTTCAGCCATTATGGCTACTCCTCCTCTTAGACTATTTTGTTTTACTCAAAGGAAATGTTCATTAATTCATTTTATAAATATTTATTGAATATCTACATGGGCCAGACACTGAAGCAGATGATAAGGACATGGTGGTAAGGAGCAGGTGAGGTCCTCAAACCCGTGGGACTTTCAGATTCATGACAACTAAGCTTATCTGTGTGTTGAAGTAAATTTAGTGACTCTTTTGCCAACATGTATCATTTTTCTAACTAAAATGTTGGTTTATTTAGTTTCAGACGTTAGACATTTTCTTTTTAGTTGTAACAGTGTATGCCATTTTAAGAACTCTTAGGGCCGGCCAGGGGGCGCAGCAGTTAAGTGCTCACGTACTGCTTCGGCAGCTTGGGGTTCGCTAGTTCGGATCCCGAGTGCGGACATGGCACTGCTTGGCAAGCCATGCTGTGGTAGGCATCCCACATATAAAGTGGAGGAAGACAGACATGGATGTTAACTCAGGGAAGTCTTCCTCAGCAAAAAGAGGAGGATTGGCAGCAGACATTAGCTCAGGGCTAATCTTCCTCAAAAAAAAAAAAAAAGAAAAGAAATATTAGTTCTTTAACTATAACCAAATAATGAACATACTAAATCTGGACAAATGGAGATAGAAGGAAGAGAAATTAAAGACGTAAACATACCAATTCTATTCATTAATAAATATAATGACTAGAAATATGTTTGTGTTTTTATCTAGAAGATTTCCACAGTGCTGAACCTTCAACTTTGCACTTTTACTTTAGGTTTTCCATCCCCCCTCTTAATTATGTTTAAAACAAAATATTTTTCTGACTTTGGACATGTGGTGGATAAAGCCTTTTTATTTGAAATTCAAGAAATGAAATTTTCTGTAATGGAAGCTATCTGGAAGATTTATTTCTTTGGCTTTAAATTTTGTCAGTGAGAAACTTTTCATTCGACACATTGTGTGTTCATTCACATATCAATGTGTAATTTAAAATTGGCTTAATTACTTGCTTTCTGACGCTATTCTAATGTGGTGTATGTTGTTAAGAAATTTAAGTTTATTAATTTTTCTAATGATTCATATGTAGTGTCTGAGACCTTTAGTTTATTTTGGATTAAACTTACAAGAACAAAGTGCCTGTATACTATAGACTGGATCAGTTCTGGGGGCAGAAGGAGGGTTGTCTTTAAGTGTTTTTATTTTATTTGAAATGTTTAACTTTCCCGTTTATTATTTCAGTTCCTTCTACATAACAACTAGGTTTGTTCAAAATTTAATTTTACTTATAAAAAAATATTTTTAAAAATTTGGTAACAATAAAGAAATTGATTTTTTCATCAAATTTTTATTGAGATAATCGTAGACTCGTGTGCAGCTGTTAGAAATAATTCGGAAAAGTCTCTTGTTCACATTGCCTCATTTCCCCTGGGGCTTATATTTTGCAAAATTGTAGTACATATCACAACCAGAGTATTGACATTAATGCAGTGCACTGATCTTGTTCACATCTCCCCATTTGTGCGTGAGCTCGCTTGTGCGTATAAAGAAGTCAGAGTTTATTCTTAATGAACTACTGAAATGCTAACTTGAGTTTCTGTGACCTCGGGGAGAACTGTTTAACCTCTTGTGCACCAGATTTCTCACTCAGTCAGGTAGTTTGATTGGATGATCTTTAGAATCCTTTTTGGGTCAAAACATTCTATAATTTTTGTATGAGAGTATTTTAGAATTTAAAATTATAACCTTTATCTTTTCTCTTTTTTTGTGTTTAGGAAGAAAAGGCTTCTCTTTTACATCGTACTCAGGAAGAAAGAAGAAAGAGAGAGGTAAAAATAGTTTTGTAATAGTTTCTATAGACAAGCATTTTTCCAAAGCCTTTCAATAAGTCTTGGTTTTACCGTTACATGCATATAGATGTATGTATGTTATATATGACATACTACATATATTTTTATGTATATTAAACTTTAGAAGCATTTCTGGATTTGTTGGATTTTACAGTAGGTCATTTATTCTGGAACCAGTGTAGAAAAGAGGGGAAATGGGCTTTTAGTTCACTTATTGCTTATGATGTGGTTTCTGGAAAACCTAGAAAATGTTAGTATATGATTTTCACATTTTGCCAAGCAAAAGGAGGAAAACTCACTGTTGAGGCAAATATCTTAACTATTGTGAAGGAGGTAAATACATGAAAGGAGCCAGTGACATTCATGGTTTTATTCTTTATTTTACATTTCATCTTTCTGGTGATAATTTCTTAAAATAGCTTTACTTTGTTGATTAATCAGCAATTGTAGTATCTTATGCCCTGCTTTTCTAAATAGTTTTTTGTTTTGCTTTATTTTTTAATAGTCCATTCTATCCTTTAGCAGCTATTAATTGGGAGCTTGTTATATTCCAGGTACTCTTCTGCTCGCTGGGTATATAGACAGTGAATGAGACAGACAGTGTTCCTGCTCAGTGATAGAACACAGCCATTAACCAAGATCTTGAGATGGTGGCGAGCGCTATGAAGGCAGCAGAGCAGTGTGGTAGTAACTGGACGGTCTGATTTGGATTGGATTTTAGGGAAGGATTGTCTTGAGTTGGTTAGAGTTGAGCTAATTCCTGAAGGATGAAAAGGAGCTGTCTTGTGAAATACTGGAGGAAAAGCATTCTTGGTTAAGGGAACAGCAAATGCAGACTCTCTGGCAGGGATTCCCAACCTCAGCACTGTTGACGTTTTGGACCAGATAATTCTTTGTTGTGGGGGACTGTACATTGGAGGATGTTTAGCAGCATCCGTGGCCTCTACCCAGTAGATAGCACAACATTCTCTCCCCTACAGTTGAGACAACCAGAAACGTTTCCGGAAATTACCAAATGTTCTCTGGGTGGTAAAATTGCTCTCACTTGAAAATCACCGCTCAAACAAGAAAAGTATTTATTGGTTGATGTCTTTCATCTTTTCTGGAAAGTTCTCAGCAGTCATCTCTTTCGGTAGTGTTTCTGCTCCATTCTCCCTTTCCTCCTCTTCTTGGACTCCAGTTACAAATATATTCAGCCTTTGCATTGTGCCCCATATGTCTCCTGTGCTCTTTTCTGTATATTTATCCTTTTGAATGTCTGTGCTTTGGTTTGGATATTTTCTTGTGACCTAACTTCTAATTTACATATGATCTCTTTGGCGATGTCTAGTTGTTAAATACCTCCATTGAGTTCTTAATTTCAGTTTTTATTGCAGTACTACAATTTTCTTTGATTCTTTTATTTCCCAGTTCTCTTTTCTTTGCATTTCTTGAACATAATTGTAGATTTTTAAAGATAATGCTTAAGCACCAGTATTTGGATCTCCTATGAGTTTGTTTCTGTTGTTTGTCTTCTTGATTTTTAGTTCTTGTCTTTTGCCTGGTTATTTTGCTTGAATACTGACATTGTATATGTCACACTGCAGAGACATCTTCAGGCTCTGGAATGTGAGCTCTTCTTCTGGAGAGCGTTACCTTTGCTTTTGGTGGGCAGCAGGGAGTGGGTCAAATCACCTTTAACTGATACAAGGCTGAGCTGATTTGAAGCTGGCCTTCACTCCTTGTAAGGCTTAATCTATTTCCAGTACACCTAACATGTTGCCTTTAGGTCCCAGCCAGAAGGCTGGAGTGTTTCTGAGACTTCCTCCTCAGTAAACAACTGAATGAATAAAAATAAATGTTTTGAAAACTCCTGGATGATATATGAGTTTTTAAGTGCTCTTAGAATCATCATAGTAATGAGTAGGTTTCCAAACTAGGCTTAAGCCCAAAGGTTCCCATGTTGTAACTGTTTCAAGCTCAGAAAGTACACTTGTGTGACCTGGTGGTGTTCTCCAATACCAAGATTGAGTGTGTGTATGTGTGTATCAAGTCTGGTAGGTGGCATTCATAGAAGAGATGAAACAATGTCCTGTGGTAAGACAAGAGTACAGATTTTAGTGTCACACCTTAGTGTGAATTCTGACTCTCTTACGTCTCTTGGCATCGCTTAATCTTTATGGAAATCTCAGTTTCTCCATCTTTAAAATAGGAGTAATACTCACTTGTAAGTATTATTCTTTGAATGCATGTGAAGTATCTCTCTTAGGGCTGGCACATAGTAGGCCCTCAAACAATAGTAGCTGCAATGGTTATGATGATGATGATGAAGAATATGTGTTTTTGCTAGGCCACTGAAAATTTTAAAGGTGGTCTCAAGTCAATAAAAATTAGAGTTTTCTCTAATTGTTGTTTTCTCTCTTCTTTCTTGAAACACAAAGCTGACCTTTAAGATAGATGTTTGTCTATATTGTTTTTATAGTTAAAACTAAAACTTTTTTAAAAAGTCTTATTTTGGGGGCTGGCCCCCGTGGCCGAGTGGCTAAGTTCGAGCGCTCCGCTGCAGGTGGCCCAGTGTTTCATTGGTTCAAATCCTGGGCACGGACATGGCACTGCTCATCAAACCACGCTGAGACAGCATCCCACATGCCACAACTAGAAGGACCCACAACAAAGAATATGCAACTATGTACTGGGGGGCTTTGGGGAGAAAAAGGAAAAAAATAAAATCTTAAAAAAAAGAAGTCTTATTTTGTTAGTGGAATTGTAAAATGGTGTAGCCATTTTGGTAAACAGTCTGGCACTTCCTCAAATGTTAATTCCACTCACAGGTTATACACTCAAGAGAAATGAAAACCTGTGTGCACACAAAAACTTTTACACAAATGTCCACAGCAGCATTATTCATAATAGCCCAAAGTGAAAACAGCCCAAGTGTTCCTTGACTAATAGATGGATAAACAAAATGTGAGACATCCATACAGGGGAATCTTAATTGGCCATAAAAAGGAGTAAAATACTGATACATGTTACAACATAGATGAACCTTGAAAACATCATGCCAAGTAAAAAAAGCCAGACACAAAGCCCACATATTATATGATTCCATTGTATGAAATGTCCAGAACAGGCAATTCCACACAGAAAACTGGTTATTGGTTGCCACCAGTGGGGGAGGGGAACGGGGGAGGGAAGGCAGGGAATGAGGGATGACTGCTAATGGGTGTGGGGGGTTTTTTGGGAAGTGAATGATGAAAGTGTTCTAAAATTAGATAGTGGCGATGGTTGTACAACTTTGAATATATTTAAAATTGGTGAATGGTACACTTAAAAGAGTGAATTTTGTGGTATGTGAATTACATAACTGTTATTTTTTTTTTTAAGTCCTTACTAGCTGAATGTCATTTTCACTGATTGTAAACAATTGTTTTATCCTCGCTCCAATATTCAGGAAGAAAGGCGAAGATTGAAAAATGCAATAATTATCCAGTCGTTTATTCGAGGCTATAGAGATAGAAGACAGCAAGTAAGTTTGTTTTTAAACTGAGAAAGAATTAGAAAAGCATGTGAGAACTTATTTTAAATACAGCCTTGCATTCTTAGAAGTAGAATCATTTTGTGTGTATTTTTGTACACCTGTTTAATGAAAGTTAATGCTGATTATAATATTTTCCCCAATAATTAATTTTATTAGTTTGTATTTACATAAAGATTTATAGATAGGTGAGTTTTTAGGTGATTTCTAAATAATAAAATACAAAATAGACCAAACCACAGCTAAAGATCAAAAAGGAAGGAAGTGGTGGAAGACTCTTTTAGTGGACATTTAAAGATCTTTCATTACAGTCCAGGGTTTCTGGTTTTTATAAGCTTTTAGCAATAACTCTACAGTGATGGCTCCTTGTCTGTTTCCACCAGTCGTGTTAAAACATTTAGACCATAACAGTTATGTGCCTATGTACTATATTTGTGTATTGTTTTGTTTGCTTTCAGTATTCCATCCAAAGAAGTTCATTTGATCGCTGCGCTAACTTGTCACAGTCTGGTGGCACTTTTTCCCTTGCTAACGGTCCCAACCTTACCCTTTTGGTGAGGCAGCTTCTGTTTTTTTACAAACAGAACGAAGACTCAAAACGTTTGGTGAGTGTTAACTCCATTTTCACTTATCCTTGTTTACAAATTTTCCAGCCTTTTTTTAAATGTGATCAGATAACCCCTCTGATATGTGTTGCCTTTGTGCACTTTTCCTCAGCCAGCTATAACAGGTCATCTTTGTGGTAATGTGTTTTACCTCTTAAAAATCTATAAAAATTTTCAGTAGGTTTTTTCATTTTTTATTATGAAAAACTTCAAATATAAGAAAAAATAGACTAATATGTTGAGCCATCCACCATGTACCCATTACCCAGTCCAGACAGTCATCAACACCTTGTTTCACACAGAACCCTCCACACCTGTGCCTTGCATCATTGTGAAGCGCATCCTAAATATCATAGCATGTTATCTGTAAGTAACTTTAAATCTCTAAAATATAGGGTCAGTCTCTCAAAACATCCGAAAAATAATTGTGTTACTTTAAAATTTTGTAGACTTCTTGTTAGTGATGAGGAACAGTGTGTTAATGGTAGAAAATACATGTAAGTGCATAGATAAATAATCTTTTAAAAAGTAGAACTTGTTATTGTGTCCCGTTTCCCAGAAAATGTTAAGAAATTCATATAATTATTAGGTTTAATAAGTATTTATTCTTAGAAATTCTTGTTTACTTGTAATAAAAATTTCAAATTATATTACAAGATGGATATACAATGAAAAGTAAATCTTTCATACTACAACCCTACATACTAGAAGGATCCCCATATGAAATATAAGTACAGAGGCAAAGGAATACTTTATTGATTATCTGGTGTCTGGCTTTAAAACCCAACATTGCTTTCTGGGTTGAGCTAGGCTGGAACATGGGAAGAACCTTCCATAAACTAGAGCCAATCTAGAGAGGCAGTAAAAGGGGCTTAATCCAGCCATTCTGGACCTTCCTTAAGTGCAGGCTCTTTCTAGGCTTTGTATTTGAAGTTTATGAGAAAAAGAAGCAGAAAAGTACAGCAGCAGGTAACCTGCCTTTCTTTCTGGAAGAGTCCACTCCCATCTTCACATACTATCATCTTGTAGATTGGAAGGTCACCGAGGAGCACAGACATGTGGGTGCTCTGGGGGCTTCAGTTGTTTATGTCTTTCCAGAGCACCCCTTTCCTTGGGAGATGCTCCTGCCATGCTCCGTGTGTAAGCCCCGGTCAGCACGCCCCGTGTGGGTTCTAAATGTGGTGCAGTTGCACAGTCCTGCTTCAGCAGCCATGGTGAAAAGCCTGGAGATGAATGTACACATTTGACTCTGGGCCTCAAGCCAAAACAGAGCAAATTGCTCAAGTGCAGATTCTGAAACTCTAAATAGAGTGAAATGTCATCACACCTGGTTAATGTAGCCAAAGTGAACTTGAATATTCAGTTTGCAAACAAAAATGCAAGAATAATAAATTAATCATATGTGGGGAGAAAGTCTCCTGCCTCAGTCTTCAGGTTCCCTGACTCGCATTCTAGGAGCAAGTGTAACGCCATTTTTGATAGTTTTTCTAAGACGCTCTATGCAAAACTAAGCATATGTGGTTATCCCTTCCTCACCTCCTCCCCTTTTTTTTATTATGATTTTAAATATGGTCTCTGCTAAAATAGTGTACTATGATTATATCTTCCATTGTGTACAGTTTTCTTGAATTATTCTGTAGTTAATAATTGCCTCACTTTTGTTTAATTTTCTTTGACTCTCTTGATAAAATCTTCTTCTGCCTTCCAACAGTACTGTAAAATGCTTCTCAGTACAGTTGTCCATGATGAAAGATGTCAGGTAGTCTGAGGCTCTGTTTCCCCCTGGAGCTGTTACTCCTGCATCCCAGGAAATTCTTGTACCAGTTTGGATTGGTGCTCTCCAGGCCTGCCATTATCCTGGGAAAGGCTTTTGCCTTGCTTCAGTTTCAGATCCTCTTTCTTGATTTTGTATCTTTTTTGCTTTCCTGATTTACTTCCTTGTTTTGTTGATACATATCCTCAGTTAACTTCCTGAGAAAGGATAAATAAGAAAGTTTTTAAAACTTTACTCATCTGCATTTAGTAAATAATAACAACAGAAAGTTAAGCAAAGTAAACATTTAATGTAGTGATACTAGATCTTTTTGGATGATATTGGTACATTTGTCAAGGTTGTAAAATACGGTATCAAAACTCAGTCTAGAAAGTGTTCAAGTAAAATATCACTACTGCTTTTTTTATTTCGTAGACAACTTGAAACATGACACTTGATTAACATATTTACAGCCTTATTCTTGTAGTTCCTACGATTGCCCATTAGATGTTTATAATGTTTGGTTACTGTGTGTCTCATTTTTATTTGTTAACAGGTAGTACAAATTTTAGATTGAACTGCATGTCAGAAAGGGCAGAAAGTATTTCTATCCAATTGGTTCCTGAGAAAATATGGGCAAGGTAGCTCCAGACACCTCAAGAAAGCTTGTGTGTAGGTAAATGAGTATTTTGAGTAGCTCTCAGAGTTATTTCTACCCAACTTAGGACATACCCTAATTTGTTATGCAGAATGCTTTTGCATTGGTATTTTAATTGTTTGATAACATTTTGTATCAAGTAAGTGTTACTATCAAAGGAGAAACTCCTTAAAGATAGCAGGCAAAAAAAGGTTATGTGGCACTCTTAAGAAGCTATCTTAACTTTAACTGGTTCTAAATGGGCCTTATGAAATGAACAAATAACAGTCTGTTTTACAAAAATATAGTGGAGAAAGCAAAAGAGATTTCTTGTTAGGTATTGAATTATCAAAACCATTTATGGCAGCTACATCCATACTAGATAATCAGGCCTCCTGGATGCAAGTTAGACAGACACCTAACTCAGCATTGCTGAGCTCACTGACCAGTTACTGTGTCCAGAGAATGGGGAGTTCTGGTCAGCCCAGACACGTACCTGCCCCTCTCTCCCCCCGCCAGCTATACTGAGGTATAATTGACGAATAAAATTGTAAGATATTTAAAGTGCACACTATGATGATTTGACATACATAGACATTGAAATGCGAAAGGATTCCTCCCATCTACTTAAGTAACACATCCATCATCTCACACATTACACCCCTGACCTTTTACTGGGAATAGTGGGGCCGTATGATTGCCTTTTTTACCACAATTTCATGGAATTAGGGAAGAGGAGTATCCAAAAGGAAAGGATGCTGGAGACACAGAGGAAAAAGGTACAAAGAAGAAACAGATATCCTGTGTAACTTGTGATTAATATTGTGTTTCTTATATATTTTTATTACAGATTGCTCATTTTTGCAAATTAACTGGGGTTTTTTGTTTTTTTTGTCTTTTTTTTTTTTTATTGAGGAAGATTTGACCTGAGCTAACATCCGCTGCCAATCTTCCTCTTTTTTGCTTGAGGAAGTTTACCCTGAGCTAACATCTGTGCCAGTCTTCCTCTGTTTTCTATGTGGGTCACTGCCACAGCATGGCTGGCTAGTCGTGTGGGTCTGCACCTGGGATCGAACCTGTGAACCTGGGCCACTAAAGTGGAGCGCACGGAATTTAACCACTACACCATGGGGCTGGCCCACAAATGAACTGGTTTTGTTTCATATTTACATGAGTTTTAAATGTACTTTGTTTTAATAATAAATTTGTTAATTTAGCTTAATACTGATGTGCTATTTTATATTTTAAGATGGAAAATTCAAAGTGTGTATACTACTAAATAAAATCTGACTTATTTTGTTTGTTATCATGTTTTGAGTAAGTATCTGTTTCCCTCTTAAGGATATTTGGAATGTGATGTAATTTAGTAAACAGTTAGCTTTTTGTGGATCAAGGTTGTAATCTATATGTTTTGCTGTTTCAGATATGGCTGTATCAGAACTTAATTAAACACAGCTCTCTGTTTGTCCAGCAGTTGGATGGGTCTGAGAGACTGACATGCTTATTTCAAATTAAGAGGTTGATGAGCCTCTGTTGCAGGTAAAGCCCGTTGTTGTCAGCAGTTTATATAAGATGGTGGTCACTTTGTCTGGAGGAGCGCTCTTTGGTTTTCATTTCCTGAGACTCTCGAATATTCTGTGTGTTACAGTTTTCACTCCTGGTGATTCTGGCCTGGTAGAAATTAGAATGTAGATATAAATACCCCTTCCAGGTGATATTTTTTTCCAAGTATGCCCTGGAATTACCTTGTGAAATGTCAGACATCTTGGTTGCTAGCAAATGGATTGACCAATTGAGAGGACTCTGCTGTGGGAATGACTCCGTTCACCAAGGGTCTGTGCTGAAGTACGGCTCTTCAGAATAGGCCTTTCATCAGGCTCGTTATGATTTATGTATGAACTTAAGTCACTCCCGTGACTTTCTTGGGTTCAGTCTAAAACAGCATATTTCAGTGACAAGAGCTGTAGTACGTGACTGAAAGAGCAAGTTAACTTCCTTACCATTTTTAAAAAATTGCTTAGATCTGCACAGTAGCACAATTTTCAAATGATTCTGAGCCTTCAGTATAATTTCAGTTAATTTTCTGGAAGCTCTGGGTACTGAAGTTTATTTAGGATTGCTGTCAGAACTAGGCCTTTTTAAGTGACTTTTCCAAAATTCTAAGTTGGACTGAAGATAGGAGTGGAGAACCTGTTAGAAGAGAGAGAACCCAGAGAGTCACAGCTCCCAAGAATTCTTTTTCCCTAACTCCTTGTGTTTCTCGGGAAAATTTTTACTTTGAAAAACACCTTGTATACGTTTATTCTCTAAAGCAGGAGTCAACAGACTTTTTCTGTAAATGCCTAGATAGCAAGTATTTTAGGGTTTGTGGGCCCATCTGTGATCTGTGTTATTTATACTTTCTTCTCTCTTACAACCCTTCAAAAATGTAAGGAGTACTCTCCACTCAAGAGCCACACACCGTCTGTGGCCGGTTTGGCACACAGGGTTTACTTTGCAGACACCCAGCATACTTTTGAAGATACTCATTTAGCAAGCAATTTTAATAGATGATATATCAAAATATAATTTCTCCCTTTTTTCCCAACTTTTTGTTTTGAAAAATTTCTGACACCAGAAAAGTTGAAAGAATACGTTTATATCCTCCACCTAGATTCAAAAGCTAACATTTTGCGACATTTGCTTTCTTTCTGTCTACATATATATGTTGTTTTTCTAAAGCATTTGAAAGTTGCAGACATCGTGACATTTTACCCCAATTCATCATACATCTCCTAAGAATAGCACATTCTTTAATATAATCATAATGCTATTTTCACATCTAAGATAATTAATAGTAATTCTCTAATAGCATGTAATATACGCTCCATAGTCAGATTTTCTCAGTTATCTCAAACCTATCTTTTTTATTTGTTTTGATGATCCCAGGATCCATTTGTTTCACTTATTCCTCTATCTCTTGTATTTCCTATTAACTGGAAGTCGGATCTAGAGAAAGGTTTTTCAGCCTTGTCCTGTTGACATTTTGGGCTGGACCATTCTCTCTTGTGGACCAGTCCTGTGCATTGTAGTATGTTTTAGCAGCATCCTTACCCTCTACACACTAGATGTTAGTGGCACCCCACTCTCAACCAAACATGTCTCCAGATACTGCCAAATGTTGCCCCCAGTAAGAACCACTGATATTGGGGCTTTATTTGATTCAATTTAAACATTTTTAATAAGAATGCTTCATAGCAGGTAATGTGAGAATCATATGACATCAGGTGGCGAGAGACATTGAGGGATAACCCATTATTAGTGAGGCTAAGTGAAGGTAGAAACTACTCTCTCTCTCTCTATTGTAAAGGTATATTTTCTTCTTGGTCATTAGACGTGGTCTGTGGGATGATAATTTGGTATTATGTGAATACCACCTTCCGTCTAGTGATTTAGCTTTGTGGATTGATGATCTATGCTTGAATCAGTTGTAACATCCATGGTTTGTATAATGGTGATTTTTCTAATTCTGTTGTTTCTTCAGCGTTAGTTAGTTGGCATTATTTGTGAAGAAGACCCTTCCTCCTTTTCCCTTTACTCTCAATAGGCCTCGTATATTTTTAAAAATACAGTGTATGATAATAAATTTTTCTTTTTGATGGTCATGTTTAGGTAGAGGGAACCCTTTAAGGAACATCTGTGTCCCTTTGACGTGGTCCCATTAGTCTTTTGAGAGCATCTTTACTTTCTGTGACCGCAAAATATCCTGGGTTCAACTTGTACTTCCTCTGGAAGCCCCAGGCCTGGGGGTATTTTCTGTGAGGAATCTGGTTCTTTTTGCTGAGGAATGAAGTAAAATTAAAGGGTAATACGTTAGATATTTTATGTCAAGTGTGTGATAGTAATAAGCCAACAATCTTATCTGCCGTGTGCCGGACATTGAATTTTAGGTGCTTTGGCAAGTTACCAGAGAAAGGGTGTTTGCCTTCTTTTGCTCTTGAAGCTCTTTTCATATCCATAGAAATTCAAGAGAAGTTTTTAAGAGGTGGAAAAGCTGGGTTTTACGTTAAGAAGATCGTGTACCTTATTATGTATAAAATACTTGAATTAATAGGTAACATGGAAGTTGATGCCACATAACTTTAGGATAAGTGGAATTTGGATCAGTGCAGTATTGGAGTAGAGGTCAGAAGACCTGGATTCTTGTCTGCCTCTGTGGCTTGCCAGCTTAGGGGCCTGATATGAGTTAACTGGATCTGCTTTTCCTTAATTGTGAAGTGAGGAATGTTCGATGAGACAGGTCCTTCCAGGTCCAGTGTTTCAGTACTGCGTGGATGGTTGGACTGATGGGTAAACCTCTACTCAAAGAAAATGGTCTCCTAGTCACCTCAATCCTTCAAGCTACCTTTTCCTTTCCTTGGACACTGCATGTTAAAGGTGTCATGGGCTCATAAGACCTAATGGTACAACAATCATTGTTGGCGTCTAGCACAACTCTTAAGGTATAAAGATACTAACATTGTTTACAAATAGCTACTTATCTACTTAAATTCAGTAAATTTATTTTGAAAATATAGGTAATTTTTAAAAACTAATGAATTAACATTACTTGTATTTCTTCTTATGTGAGCATCCATTACGAACAACATTGGGGTTGGCTAATCAGTTGATTTATTAAAAAATTTTATTGAGTTCCTACTAAGAGCTCAGGCCAGTTCTCAGCACTAGGATATGGCTGTGCGAAGGCAGAGAAGGGTCCTGCTCTCCTGGAGCTTATAGCTCATCTGGGAGACTGAGAATAAACATAATCAAGTAAAATATAAATGTCTTTGTACAGAAAAGGTAAATGTTAAATAATGTAAGTGTTGAGGAAAGGGGGATGTGAAACTTGGAGAGTGTGGGTTGACTTGAGAGAGTCTGACAGGGAAGGTGTCCTTGAGGAGATGACTAGGTGGGAGGGATGGAACTGGCTGTGTGGCTGTCAGAGCCTGCGGGGGGTGCTGGAAGTGCGCAAGGGGGAAGGGGAAGGGTGAGGGTGAGAGAGCAGGCGGTTATCAGGACCTGGAAGGGATTTTCTTTAGGACTTTGTCTTTCTTTTCTTTCTTTTTTTTTTTTTAAATAAAGATTGGCACCTGAGCTAACATCTGTTGCCAATCTTCTTCTTTTCTTTCCTTCCTTCCTTCCTTTCTCTCTCTCCCTCTCTTTCCCTTTCCCTCTCTTTCTCTCTCCCTCTGTTTCCCTCTCCTCTCCCTCCCCGTACATAGTTGTATGTTCTAGTTGTGAGTGCCTCTGGTTGTGTAGGACTTTGTCTTTCATACTGAGACAGCAAGGAAGCCAAAGGAGAGTTTGAGCAAAGAGTGACCTGAACTGAATTTTGTTTCTTCCCTGTCTTGTAATGTTTTTATGTTTTATATTTTAATGTTTGTAATGTTGTTATGAAATTTTCAAACATGAAAGAGTAGAAAAGTGGTACAGTAAATGCTCGTTTGCCTGCCATCTGGAGTCAACAATTTTTAACATTATTGACCACCGTTAACATTTTGCTAAATCGTTTCGAGGTAACGTAGTGACACTCCACTCACTCACTGCTTCAGTATCCATCTCCCAAAAAGACACTCCTCCATCCCACAGTTCCGTTATTATGCCTATAAAGATGGCTGAGAATGGCATTAACTAACCCTGGAGTGGCCAGACGGTCTCGTCTGACAGTCCTAGTATAGCTCCCCTTTCATTCAGAAATGGCTCAGCTCGGCTACTGTGTCCAATACTCAGTCCATGTTCAAGTTTTCTCTTTTCAAAATATACTTTATAGCTGTTTTCCTTTCTTCCTCCCTCCCTCTACAGCTCCGCTTCTGTCTTTCCTTCTTCCCTCCCAGAATCTAATTGACCACCACTATCTTTGACGACATCTAAATCTTTTAATCTGGAATAGTCCACACCTCTAATTTATGTTTTAATACAACTGCTGACTAGTGTGTTGAAAACAGACTGCAGGGGAGTAATGGCAGAAACAGGGATCAGTTCGAGAGAGCAGTAATCCAGCCAAGAAATGATATGTCTGGGGCCATGGTGATGGCAGTGGGAATAACATGAGTTGGTTGGATTCTGGTAGAGCCAACAGGATTTACTGACAGACTGCATTAGGGTTTCAGATAATGAAGAGTCGAGGATGGATACCAGTTTTGGTTTGAACATTTAGTTGGATGAGGTAGTTTTAAACCCTAGGGAACATAAACATGAGTGAGATGACGTGAATTGTATAGAAAGAGAAGAGAACCAAAGACTGATCCCTGGGGCACCCTTACGTTAGGAGGCTGTGGAGAAGAGAATCCAAGGCCCTGGCATCTGAGTAAAGAAAACACAGGGGAAGAGGACAGATTGGGGGGAGTGCTCACCACCATAGATGAAATCAGAGAATTGATCATTGAGTTGGTAATGTTCAGTATTATTTTCCAAAAGAAAAATCAGGACTCCCATAAGAATGTGTCAATAATTTTATTTAACTTATTAATTAATGAGGGAACCAGTAGGATGTTACAACTGGTTCAAATGAGGACTTATCTTACAGAAATTTACGTTCTGTATCTGACGGAAACCTTTTGCATTGCCAGGAATAGGAATAATTTATACAGTATATATATATATATACTGTATGGTATATACTGTATGGATATATATATATATATATATATATATATATATATACTGTATGGGAAACATTCCTATTGGTTTTCTACGTGTTGTCTTCTCTCTCTCCAGAGGTGTAAAGTAGCTTAGTGGAAGACAAGGTGGAGGTAACCCAATGAGTGAGCTGGACAGACCACCCAATAATCTTCTTTTTTTTTTTGGTGCCTGTTTCACAGTCTTACAGTTTTTCCCAGTAGTAATACTGTTGGTGACCTTGATGAGAACAGTGGTGGGGGAAGGTCTGATTGGATCAGATTTAAGAGGAATTGTAAATAATGAGTTCTGCAAAGGGAGCAGAGACATGGAATAGTGAGACATGGCAAGGGCAGTGGCATCTGGACATTAAGGAAAAATTAATAGCATGCTTGTTGATGATCCAGTATGAGAGGGAAAATTGCAGGAGAAGGGATTGCTGGAACAAAGCCTCTGAATGATTATATAAGAGGTCAGGATATAGTTGGAGGGTTATAGGATTTGGCTTTGGTTGGGAACAAGGGCGGTTTATTCATGTTTTCAAGAAACAGACAACCCAGTTAAAAGACTGGGTAAGAGATTTGGGCACTTTTAAAAAGGAGATATGTGAATGACCAGTAAGCACTTGAAAAGATATTCATCTTAAATAATCAAAGAAATACAAATTCAAATCACAATGAAGTACAATTACACAGCCATTAGAATGGCTCATATTTTTACAAGTACTATTACCAAGTGTTAAGGTTATGGAGCAACTGGGACTCTCATATACTGCTGTTATAACTTTGGTAGTTTCTTTTAAACTTAAATGGATAGCTACCATGTGACCCTGTGATTCCACACCTAGGAGTTTACTCAAGAGAAATGAAATTTAGATCCACACAAAGGCTTGTCCTTGAATGTTCATGACAGCTTTATTTATAATAGCAAAAGACTGGAAATGACCCAAATGTCAATTAACATGTGAATAGATAACCAAAATGTGGTATTTCCATGCTGTGGAATACTACTAGCAAATAAAAGGACTAAGTTTTTGACACATGTTGGATAAATCTCAGAAAGATGCGAAGTGTAAGAATCTAGACATTAGTGAGTACATACTGTATAATTCCTTATGCAAACTAATCTATAGTGACAGAAAGTTGGTTGGGGTGGGGGAGTTGGAGGGAAGAGTTGGCCGGAGAGGACCAAGAGGAAATCCCGGAGGTGATGGGTGTGTTGAGCATCTTCCTTGTGGTGTGATGTGCATTGCTTACTTTAAACGAGTGTGTATTATTGTATGTCATTGTCTCGAGACAGTTGATTTTAAGAAAAGACAGTGTCTGTTTTAAAGAAGACTTAATTTTGTGATACCTAAGCCTTTAATTTTCGTAGTAAGAAGGGACTCTAGTCAAAATGATAGACTTAAGATGAGAAATATATTATTAACTTTTACTTAGGGGATATTGCAGGCATGGAAAGTCTTGAAGGCGTCCTTGAAAAAGATCCTTCTCTGAGTTGAATTAGGTGAATTAGTTGCAGCTTCTCTTGGTATAATGCATGGGTTACAACACGCTTACATGGCATTTGTGATCTTCCATTTTCCTTGTCTGTTTCTCCCTCTATGATTGTGCATTTTTCATCTCTGTAAACCGAGTGCCAACATGTTGTTTGGCACATAATAAGGACTCACAAAAAAAGTATGAATGACAGATTGATTATTTTGTCTGTCTTTGAGTTTTGCCTCTTTTCAGAGAGATTCTAGGATTAGAACAGAATGGCTCAAGCACTTACCATAGTGAATGAGAGTAATTTGAGGAAACTTTTGGTGACATTTGCCATCCAGTAAGTATGTGAATACTTTTTTCATTTTTACAGGTTACTGCAAAACTGTAATGATGACAGTTTGAATGTTGCACTTCCAATGAGAATGCTTGAGGTGTTTTCATCTGAGAACACTTACTTGCCAGTTTTACAAGATGCTAGCTATGTGGTGTCAGTAATTGAACAAGTTTTGCACTACATGATTCAACATGGTAAGTCATGGATGGGGTCAGAACTCTGGATTCGCTTTATTGTGTGAGGTGAGCATAGGCTCGGGTGCTTTTTAGAGCTTGTACAATCACTCTGAAGATCACAGTATGACTTTTCTAACAGAAGCATCATGCACAGTTGAGGGGAACACCTCCTGGGAGTCACCCATTCTAACATTTGTCCTTATCTCTGTTCACCCTAAAAATTTGGAAAACATGTTTAATCTCTTTACTTAAATTTTCCTGTTGCTTGAAAGTGAAGCAAATTAATATATGCCTTAAGACATTGTTGCAGGTACTGTAACCAAATATTTATGTCTGCAGTGCAGCGGCCAGGCCTTCATAAGCGAGCTGCAGCATCCTGAGTTGATAGGAATGATAACATCACAGATACATGAGATAAGTCAACTGGAGAACCCGTCTTATTAAAAAGTAAATCCTAGTTTTCATGCTAGTTCAGTAGAGGAGAGTAAGATATTGAGTTTATTTGAATGTTCTTACTAACTTGGTGTTAAAGCTTTTATGCATTGACACTCTCCTTAAAATGACTGTATTATGTAAGATATAATAACCTAGATCCAAAGTTGCTCTGAAGACACATTAGTGACATTGTTTTGGAGAAAGACTATAAAGTACATATGCTTTTAAAAACCTTTTATGATGAATTAAGCAATATAAAGTAAAACAAAAATTTAAAAAATTTGATTCCCAGTGTTCTCACAGGTAGAAAGTCAAACACTTTAGAGCTCCTGGACCCTGAAAGTACTAGTCAGCCTTAAAGAATATGTGCGTTGTTGGTCATAAAAGGAGCTGTAGATAGTTTTGGAAAGTATAGTTACTCATAAGAACAAATAATTTTGCTTTTGTTTTTGTGAATTGTGTACTAATCTAAGTTAGTCTGTCTAGCCAAATCTAGCCAATTTAATCCTCCAGATTAAAAAGGTAGAAATTAAATTCACATACATCCCAGCCGTACTGTTTGGCTTAGATTTAACAGAAGCCCTACTTAGTTTGTTGAAAAACTAAGGAAACTACTAAGTTAAAAAAAGTAAATTGAAAGTTTTGGAATTTGATCTTTTAAAAGACAAACTAGGGGTTGGCTCCTTGGCCTAGTGGGTAAGTTGGACACGCTCCACTTTGGTGGCCTGGGTTCAGTTCCCAGGCACAGACCTGCACCACTAGGTGGTGCATGCTGTGGCTGTGACCCACACACAAAATAGAGGAAGAGGGGCACAGATAATAACTCAGGGCCAGTTTTCCTCAGCAAAAAACAAGACAGTTAATGGTAATTAGAAATGGGCCGTTGTATTAATATGATGCGCTATTGTGTATATTGATTTAAAGCTAAGCACTCAATGAGAATGTTTACTTTTCTTGTTTTCTAAAAGTGTAAAGAAGATAACTAAGAAATATGCATCGTTTTGAAATGTGTCTAGAAATAGGAAATGCTTCAAAATCTTACATTGAAATTGCTTCTTCTAGCATCATCTGTGGTATTGCCATTTTTCAGCTGTTTTGATAAATTACTTACTGAAGTTATTAGTCAATAAAATTTTAACATTCTATTTATTTATTATAGTTTGTATTGTTTTTATATATTATGTGCTGTGATTTAACATGAAGCTTTTTAGCAATTGCAACAGAGCTTTAATACTCTAGTCATGCTGTCAGTTAATCTGTTCACTATACACGTATATCGATGTTACTATATTAATGATGTGATACTTTAAAAAATTTCTTGATGTGCTTAAAAATTTTTTTTTTGATTTATTTACATCTTTTCAGTTTTATAACAAAAGAGCTCTCCAGCTTTCTTGTTGAGTTTCACTAGTAATCAATATATATGAGGTTAGAATTGGGATAGTTACAGAGTAGGTCTGACAATAAAGCACCGAGTAACCACTGTTTAGTAATTGTAACTCAAGTATGAGAGTGATAGGACTGTTGTCAAAAAGTAAACCAAGCAAATGATTGTGGTTTCAGTGTGCACTACCAAATGTGCTTGACAGTAATGAGTTGTTCACAAACTACACTTGCAAATGGTTCTTATTACTTTAGAAGACAGGGGTAAGTATTTCTAAAAAGATTCTATGATTTGGATCATTGGTGATACCAGAGTTTATGTTCATTCAGGCCTAGAAATCTCATCAAAGGCTTAGAAAGGTCCTGAAAGTTGTTTCTTCTGCTTATATAGAAGTTGCCTTTAAAACAGTTAAATTCCTTGGTGCCCATATTGTGGTCTCCAAAGATATAATTTCCTCTAAGAGGAATTTAAGAGTCCCTGGAGAAAAGGCTGATTTCACATCTTGGTCAGGAGATGAGACGGTGAGACTGGGACCTCTTGTCCCATCAGAAAGCAGAGATGCTCCCAGTGACCACTGGGTCTCAGGGGCCCTTCTAATATTTACCCCATTGGCCAAAGACAGCACAATTGGAGTATCAGTGAGGCTAACAAGTGCAGTGAATAGAAATATATCAATATGTTTAAGCCCATGAGTTCAACATGATATTTTTTTTAAACCATAAAACTAAATACTTGGAGGATGCTGAAGGGACAAATAAAAAAAGTCACAACATATGGGCCTTCCTTGGATCCTGATTCAAACAAATTTATAACATGAGACAATTGGAAACTTGAACACTGACTAGATGTTTATAGTATTAAGGAATTACTGTAATTTATTTTAGCTGTGATAATGATGTTTTTAAGAAAAGTCAAGTCCTCATCTTTGATGATACACTGAAGTAATTATATCTTGGGTTTATTTCCAAATGAGTGGCGGTATAGGTGATTGGCTGTACTTGATAATTGTGGATGCTGGGTAGTGGGTACATGGGGTTTATGTACCATTTCAGGCTGCTTAAGAATTTGTTTAAAGTTTTTCTTAATAAGTTGAAGAAAACTTAAATAAATTTGGACCTATAGAGATTTATAAAAAGCACTTAAAAATGGATGTTTTTTTCCTTATTATAAGAAAAGGTACCAAATTTTAACTGTGTATTTTTCCTTTCTTTTAGGGTATTATAGATCTCTCTATTTGTTAATTAACAGCAAGCTTCCATCAAGTATTGAATATTCTGATTTATCTCGAGTACCTGTAGCAAAAATTCTGCTAGAGAATGTTCTAAAACCATTGCACTTTACTTACAACTCATGTCCAGAAGGTGCAAGGTGAGAATGGAATCAGTTTATTGGTTTTGTAATTTCATAAGATCTATACCTACCAGTAACTTTTACACAGGATGCTGTTTTAAATATAGACTTGAAAGTCAAAATTTTACTTTATTAATGTGACTTAGTTTAAAGAAAAATGTACTTTTTATTTCTGGCCTGCACCCTAATATAAATTTATAATTCTGGTGACCTGGTTATTTTCTTGCTTTCTAGTAGCTGTCAAATAAATATAAAAACATGACAGAGTTTTCTTAATGGGGAAGACACAAAATTAAGTTCATTTCAGGATGATCTAGTTGATATTGAATGCTTAACTTGTATTAGTTGAGAAGGAGAGTTTGAAAGTTAATTTTAATCAATGATTTTGTGAAAGATATGTTTTGATTTTATTAAAAGCTTCCATTTTTCTTTTCCAGGCAACAGGTTTTTATGGCCTTCACAGAGGAGTTTCTGGCAGCACCTTTTACAGATCAGATCTTTCATTTCATCATTCCGGCATTAGCAGATGCACAGACTGCCTTCCCTTACGAGCCCTTTCTGAATGCACTGTTGTTAAGAGAGCATAGATGTTCCAAAGCGAGTGCCGGAGCACCAGGGCTTCTCTACTTTGTTTTAACTGTTGGTGAAAATTATTTGGGTATGAAATACAAGATATGTTTTACCTGAACCCCCCACATAGGTAGTATTAGCAGATAAGTCAAGAGAAGGCAAGGTGGCAAGTGTCACGTTGTCAAGATGGCCTCTGGGGTGGGAACTTCTTAGAAGACTGTATTTGCTGAAGGACTGTGTCCTGGGCAGGGACCCTGGGGAAAGTTTTCAAGCACAGTAAAAAAAAGTCTGATTTAGATACATGTATAAGTCCGCGCAGGTGAAAAAGAATTTTAGAGTTGAGTGGGAGAACTCCTCTGAGTGCAGGGATGTTTTCCCCATTTGTGCTAAACTTCTCATGCGCCTATTCTAGATTTCTAGCGTCTTCCTCTAATATATTTTAATACACATCTCTGTGCATGAATTTGTAGAATTTTAATAGTAAGTTCTGAAGTGCCTCTCTGAGTATGAAGAAAAATGATGCCTGAGTTTTCTAGTTTCTTTTTGATCTCTTTTAATTAGATGTTATAATTGATTGTTTTACAAAGGGACCCTCTCTGAGGAAGGACTGCTAGTGTATTTAAGAGTGCTCCAGACCTTCCTTTCTCAGTTACCGGTTTCACCTGCCAACACAAGCTGTCAAGACTCAGCCAGTGACTCTGAAGATGAGAGTGAAGAGACAGACAAGCAGATGGGCACTCCAGTAAGCTCCCCTGGACCTGTGTGTAGACAACTTCATCTGACTTTGAAGTTGTTTTTAACTTTCTCCATCCTTATTTTTAATTGTATAATAATGTATTAAAGCATGCTTGTGGTAAAGCGTTTGTTCAGATCAAGCCCTCTTACCTGCACCACCATTGTGCTCTCCTCAGAGATAGCCATCCTAGTGATTGGAAGGACACTCTTCCAGACCTTTCCCTGCATGTCTGTAGAAGTATGTGGAGATGCATAGTTTTGTGTTTGTTGTTTTATGTGAAATCGGGTCATACTGTATATTAAGTTAATTATTACTTAGGAAATGTTTCCTAGAAGTGAAATTATTGGGTTAAAAGCTGAAGTTCCTCGTTCTCAGCAAGTGCACTTCCTTTGTCAGAGACTATTCTATTTTTTTGAAGAATTTTTTTATAACGGCTTTTACTTTACCATAAAAATTTACCCTTTTAGGGGCTGGCCCCGTGGCTGAGTGGTTGGGTTCTTGTGCTCCGCTGTAGACGGCCCAGTGTTTCATTGGTTCGAATCCTGGGTGTGGACATGGCACTGCTCATCAAACCATGCTGAGGCAGCGTCCCACATACCACAACTAGAAGGACCCACAACGAAGAATATACAACTATGTACCGGGGGGCTTTGGGGAGAAAAAGGAAACAAATAAAATGTTTAAAAAAAAAATTTATCCTTTTAAAGTGATGTACAGTTCAGTGATTTTCCAGTATGTGAACCTAACTAAGCAGCCATCACCACTCTCCAATTTTAGGACCTTTTCATTGCTCCACAAAGAAACCCCATATCCATTAGCAGTCACTTCCTTTCCCCCTTTTCCTCAGCCCCTAAAAGGATAAAAAAAAAGCTTAAGCTCCTTATCCTTCTTACCCTATCTTGTCAACACCAAGTAATGTCTTCTGTTAATTTTTGCCAATAATACAGATGATAAATGTTATGATTTATTTTAAAATTAATTTTAAGTCACGTATTATCTCTAAGTCCGCCTTCTCCCATTTTTTGCCCAGCATTGTTTACTCTGTATTTTCAAGGAATAAAAAGCTTTACATTATATACACACACACATCATTTGTGTGTCTTACATGGGTGATATATCTGCCACTGCCCTCTTTTTCTCTTAATTATACAATTGAAATCCCTTGAGGCAGTAAAAGGTTTTCAATATTTTTGTGTTAGGATATTTGACATTGATCAGTACTAAGTCTCATCTCAGGAACAAGACACTTGCGAGTGGCTCGTGTGTCCCCGGTGAGGTAAACCTTCAAGGTTTGGTGCTATGAAAGGGTGTGTTAGTGTGGTGCCTTCTGGGTACAAACAGCTTCATTAGCACGGATGGAAGAAGCCGGAGCAATAGGAAAAGGAAAACAGATTAGTCAGTGCCGGGGCTTAACGAAGGGGCAAAACTGAGCTTTTTGGGGGATGCTGGAACTGCTGCATCTTGTCGAAACAGAACTGTGCACCAGAAAGTTTCCATTTTATTGTATGATCAAAAAAAGAAGTAGGTAGAATGTGGATAAAACTTTTGTTTTTAGAAGATGGTTTTTTAATTCTTAATTATCTTCTAGAGAATTTGTGAAATTAAAATCGTGTTTATACACAGTATCATTTGTATCCACGTGAAGATGAAGCTGTGGGCTGTGTTTGCTGGAGAGACGCCAGGAAGGGAAGTCCTTCCTCACTGGACACACAAACAGAGGCAGAGCAGGAGGACACGTGGGGCAGAGGAGCACGCTGCGGCTCGCCTGCCTGTGGCTGTGCTTTCACGTTTAAAAAGTGCAGTTTGACTCTTCCTCACATGTCTGAAACATTTTGCCCTGGTTTATTTTTCTTCTTCAGTATCTCAGGGTTTCAGGATCTGTTTATTACAGTTATATGACTTTATACTTTGTTTCTCTTGTTTGTCTTTTCTCTTCATTTTTCCCTTGCCTTGGGTGTTGTCTGTTCTTTGCTGCCCACGTTTGGGTTCACAACTAATGACCTGGTTGTAAGCCGTGTGCTCACAGATTTGACTCAAAATCATTGTTTATTTCTGGGCCACATCTTTTGATGTCTGCTTATATATTACCTTTTCTTTTCTATGATACTTCATTATGTAGAATCTAATTTGATTATAATGAGATTTTTCTGGGGTCAAATTTTACTCTCTATAAGCTCTTAGGTTTCTGTATAATCAGTTATGGTTTTATGTATAATTTATTTTAAGAGTGTACACTACAAAAGTAGTAATACTAATGTAGTACTCTTGTTCTGACATCTTTTATTAGCTGCATCTTATTTAAAGATTGAAATTTGGGGGCCAGCCTGGTGGCATAGTGGTTGAGTTCGCATGCTCCGCTTCAGTGGCCTGGGGTTCACAGGTTCGGATCCCAGGCGCGGACCTGCACACCGATCATCGAGCCATACCGTGGCGGCATCCCACATACAAAATAGAGGAAGATTGGCACAGATGTTAGATCAGGGACCATCTTCCTCAAGCAAAAACAGGAAGATTGACAACAGATGTTAACTTCAGGGCCAGTCTTACTCACCAAAAAAAATATAGAGAGAGAGAGAGATCCATGTAGACCAGTTGAATAGATTTGAAGGTCCATAAACACATTTATCTAAAAAAAAGAAGAAGAGAAAGATTGAAGATTGGCAGATAGAATTTATTACTTTTATCTCTAAAACAGTGTTTTACTTGGTAGATTATTATAGATTACATAAATTATATCCATCCAAGTTTCCAAACTGTATAGTCAGCGATACCCAATGTCATTTGTATGTTCATATATATTCATAAATATATATACATATATATGAAAAAAGTATATATCTTTGGTTAATACCCCAAAAAGGTAAACTGCATAGAATATTAGCTCAGGTTTTACTCAGTGAATCAGATCTTCTGTGGAAATTAAGATATAAAATTATAGATTTTGTATTTTGTTTGATTTTTTAAAAAAATTATTTAATATTCTATTTTGCTTAGACTGTGATCTCTCAAATAATTTTAAATGGAAATTCTGTCAGATGATAATACATTTCCACATATGTATGCTGTCTTAATACAATGCAATCTAAAAAATATGAAATGAGCTTTTCTTAAAATATAAATACTGAAAATATGGTCACATCAGTAGGCAAAACTGAGTGTTCACAGTTCCTGCATTGTTATACTGGGCAAAATGGGTGCGTAATATAGATAGTGACTGGATCTGTGGAAGATTTCTGATTACTTTAATGGATGTGTTGGTAGATATTGACATGTTTGTTGTGATGTGGATAACTTTTAGATAATGCCTATCTTGTATTTTCACTTGGAGAAGAATAAGATTTTATATATGTTTGTAGCATTGTGTTAAGTTCTAATAGAGCATCGTTAACTTAGACTAATTTGTCTGGTGTGTTTTAGGAAGATGGTAGACTGTCAATACCCTACATAACAGAGGAATGTCTGAAAAAGTTGGATACAAAACAGCAGACCAACACCCTGTTAAACCTGGTCTGGAGGGACTCGGCCAGCGAGGAGGCCTTTACTCTGATGGCATCCATCTGCCACACGCTAATGGTGCAGCATCGGATGATGGTGCCAAAAGTCAGGCAAGTCTGCTTGGGTATTAATGTTACACGAACACTAAAGTCTGCTTTCCTCCCCTGTGATTTGTGTTGGTCTCAATCTGAATCAGTTTCACCTGCTATTTTCTGATAGAATATGGTTTAGAATATTCTGCTGTTCAAGCATTTCGTGGAAAATGAAAGTTTGTTTTTCTTTTCTAAACCAACTAATACTGTTTGAGTCCTTTTCCTGGCCTGTGAGGCTCTGAAGTGCACTGTGACATGTTAACAAATCAGATAAGCTCATTTTTCTGTGATATCTTGGGAATGAAAGAGGATTTTAGTATTTATTGGGTATTAAAAATTGGGGTCATGCCTGCATTATAGAATCAGTGTATTACATGTCTTTTTAGGTTTTTCGTAGCACTCTTTTTTGTCAGCTTGCCCCCGACAGTTTACTCCGGCACTTGGACATTTTTGTTTTTTAAAACTTTGAAATAAACTTTTGAGAGGGACTAAACAAAACATACGAGTTAAGATGTGGCTAATTTGTGTAGGTAAGTGTGACGGTAATCTTGAACTATTTTTTCCCCTGTTTTTTGAGTGATAGTTTAATGGTTTCATGAGAATTTAACAGAAAAATATTTAATAGAGTGCAGTGCAAAAATACGTAGTGGTTGTGCTAGGAGCTGAGGGACTGACGTTTCACAGCAGCCCGCTGGGAGGCACCATCTCTCGGTACGGAGGGCCTGTGCTGCATCAGATGAGTGGTGCTCCCCGAAAGAATCTGCTTCTGTGTTTAAGAAATGCCATCCCCAGACATGAAAAGAGCAGTGTCTTTTGGTTAGGAAAGCGTTCTTTGAAATGAACTGTATGTGAGGAACACGTCATCAGCTGAAACTGCCTTGTAAACACTAATGCAGCCAACTAATTAGGTGCTATCTTAGCTCACTGGTGTTTATTACTGCTGGAGGAAGTAAGATGTCAGTGAAACTGTGATCCCGAGATTAGGTAATTAGCTCTCTGTAGGCTGATTGCATTAGAGCAGGATGTGAGATCTGAGGAGCATAGCAGCTGAAGCAGGACGCTTGCTTTTATTGTAGCACAAAGCCCATTGCTTTGGATAGCAGTTACTGGATTTAAATGCATCACTGCCCTGGCCTGAGGTTTACTGGTGAACTGCTTCCAAAAGGGGTCTAATGGGTCAAGGAGCTTTATTTGGAGCCTTGATTTTATGAGTACAGCACCTATTTCCTCCAAGAAACTACTCTAGGGATTTTATTTATGGTTTAAATACATTAGGCTTTAAGTATTTAGAATGTTTTTCATAGCTCATCAAAGAGCAAATAGGCTTACTTTAACTGTTGTAGATTTTAACTGCTTTCAACTTTTTATTTTAAAGGTATTTAAAAGATGATTAGTAAATTCTTAGGCTGATAACTCACTCTCAGGTCCTCCCAGGCTCATGTTAGTCTCTCATTTTCAAGGTTGGGATTTGCAGTTTTAATTTCTGTTTGACATTGATTGTCAGGATGTATAAAGGAATATGGAGGCCCTTTTTACATTTATATGGAAAGATTTCCAAGGTAGATGCTTAAGTGAAAAAAGAAAGATAGAGAACAGTATCGATAATAACCTCCTTTTTTGGGGGTGGGCCTGGTGGAGTAGTGGTTAAGTTGGCATGCTCTGCTTTGGCAGCCCAGGGTTCTTTGGTTCAGATCCTGAGTGCGGACATACTCACCACTTATCAAGCCATGCTGTGGTGGGCTCCCTCATATAAAGTAGAGGAAGATGGGCACGGATGTTAGCTCAGGGCCAGTCTTCCTCAGCAAAAAGAGGAGGATTGGTGGCAAATGCCAGCTCAGGGCTAATCTTCCTCAAAAAAATAAAATAATAGTTGGATAAAACCCCTACTTTTTCTGTCAGAAAGGTGGAAAAAGAATGTGTACTTGTATTTGCCTAAAGAGATTTGGAAGCATACACAAGAAACTCATGAAAGTAATTACTCACTGTATTACTTACTGTAATTTTTACAGTATTTTAGAAAAAATTTGAGGATATACCTGCAGAGAGAAATTTGTTAATTTTTGCCTATGATTTCATGCTTGCTTTTTTAATCAATGATATTTTCAGTATAATCAATAGATTTAATCAGCTGTTAATTCATGTTAAAATTTGCATTCTATTATAAAGGTCAGATAAAATTTGTGACCTTTTAACATTTCAACACAATGATTTTATTGTGAACTCTTATTTTGGAGTCATGTAGATTATAAACTAATTGGCAGTAGTTATTGTTAGACACGTCAAATTAGTAAAATAGGCTTACTTAGTCAGATTAAGCAATATAATTAGTAGTAAGTTTTGAAACTTCTAAGAATTTTCTAAACATTTGTGAATGATAATTGGTTCACAGGAAATACAAGTAAACTTGGAAAAGGCATACACAAAGACTATTTAAAATTTTTTTTAAGTTTTCTTTTAAGAATAATGTTAAGAAATAGTGAGGGAAGGGAATGTCAAGGGCAATATCCAAGACAGTGAGTGCTGCTTAGCCCCATTCTAATTTAAACTGTAGTATGAGGGAAAGTACATTTTTTGAGTCCATTCATCTTAAAATCAGTTTTCAGGAGAAAAGAAACTGTTTAAACTGGTTATAGTTTTAGCACTGGAATGTTGATTTAACACAACTGTATGTCTCGAGCTTCTTGGTACCTCATTTGTGAAGAAAAATTTTTTGGCAAGTTACCTTAAACGGAAATATGTCTTAAAATTTTTATTATCATTAAGGAAATTTAGAATTTATTTTTAATGTTTCATTTTCTCAGAGCTGAAACGTTATGTGCGTATTTTAATGTTGCTTTTGCCAATAAAGTGATCCTTTCAGCAGGGGAACACCAGGTGCTCCCTGTGCACACTGTGCTGCAGGAGTGCAGTGGTCTCTATGTGGCTGGCTTGTCGTGTGCCTTTTCCCTGTGGCACCTTTACCCACAGGGAGGATCTGACAACACCTTGTTGGCGTGACCTTTACTGCCTGTGTGTGAGCTGGTGTCTCCATTGTGTTCTCTTTAATAACTTAAATAACCCCTGCAGACAGCAGGCCCAAATTTATGACCTGGGTTGAAAATGTTGCCCTTTACTAAGTAACTCATAGGGTTGTCTCAGCTAATAAAGCTTAATGGGTAATTTTAATATATCCCAGTATATGTAAAGAATATATCACTTCCTTACCTTTTAGCAGTAAAGCCCCAAACTAAATAACCTTCAGTAATTTACATAGGGGTTTAATAATTTGTTTTATTATTACTTATTGAGTGACTACTTTAGGAAATAGAATTGTTTCAAAGTTAACTTAAAATATAACTTGAAATGTGTAGCTGTTGAAACGGTGTTTCCGACATATGTATGTGTGTTCTTGTGGAAAATGTTAATTACAATCCTAAGTGAAAAAAGTGTTATAAGAGAATGTATTGGGAGAACCCGTTTTTGTTTGCCTCTGTGCACCCTGTGTCTGGGTGATTTATCCAAGGTGTTAACTCGATTATTTCTGGGAAGACGGGATGAAACGTTACTAATGTTCTCTTGCCTTGTTGTTGTGTGGTTGTTAAGAAAAAAGAGCAAAGCAAACATACTTATTGAAAATATGTAATTTTTCAGATTTTTGAAGTGCTAAATTTTAGTATTTATGATTAACACAATTTTAAGAAATCTTGGTATCAATGAAATTATACTAGATAATATATTTTTAAAAATAACTCACTTTCTTGGTTGAAGAGAAATAAGGCAAGCAAATATTACCTTCTAGGGTTCCTTTATATGAAAAGTTCATGTTTTTCTATATTCCATGTAGTTGTTTGGATATCTTTTTATAGCACATAAAATTCCATAAGGGCAAGAAAATGAAAATTTTAACACTATTTATATATAGGTGTATGGTAAGCGTTTTAAATATTTCAGAGATGGGGTATGTATTATTATTTTCTAATACAGGTCTAGTTTCCAACAGTATAGTCTTTTTTGAAGTGAATTTTAAGTTGAAATTTGCTCAGACATTAATGACAGGAATTTAGCAAACTTGGTAACATCGTTCAATTCATCTCTTGTAACTTACTGTAATATTACCATTTTCCATTAATCCAATAAAAATATTTTACAGATTTCTCAACCTGGTTTTGAGACTCACTCAGTTGAGCTTTCCTATGAATTAGTGTAGTGTTGTTACCACTTTGTCACTGTATGTACTTGTGATATTGTACTTCCATAGAATCATCACTTTTTTGAGCTGGGAAAGACCTCAGAATTGATGTAGTCCAATCTTGTGAAAATAGGTTGCTTTTGGCCTATGTGACATTTGAAGAGTAGTTGGGCTAAATGATCAAATAATCTTTCTATCCTACAGTTTCATGATTCTAGGTAAATTTCACTCTTTCATGTTTTCACTATTTTTAAGTGATTGTGCTTTTAATGCCATTTAAACGTCTCAAAATGCACCACACTAAAGTAAGATTGGATTTTTTAAACTAGTACTCCATAATCCCTACTGCGTACTCAGAAAATGCTAATACTGAAGAATGTGTCTGATATTTTGAATTGAATGCAGGAAAGTACTAGATCAATCAAATTGAGATTTTTGTATTGAAAAGTTACTTATCTAAAACCTGTTCATTTCTCTTCCACTATGGGCATTTAAATTAATACACTTCTTGCGAAATTTAGTCTATTCCAATATTTTATATTATACTCAGTACAATATTTACAGTAATTAAATCCATAGAGAATTGTGGCTACCCACTACATGATGTTTTTCTTTAGTCAAATCATCCAGTTACTCTTACTGGCCATTTCTCACAAAAAGAACTAGAAGCAGTCCAAGGAGAACACTGGGGCTACTGGTCACCCTATTGAGGAGAGAGAAGAGCCCGCTGTCCCTCAGCAGCCTTGGGGTATACTACTTGCTCTTCCACAAGCTGGCTTCACAGCTTTGGGGGTCAGACACGGTCTTTAAGGTCTGTTCCACATTGAACATCCAGTCGTCTGGTGTTAACTTCAGCATCCCACAAAAGGTATACAAGACTAGATGATATGTGGATGTTAAAAATATGCAATTCTGCTCTCATATATACTTTTAAGTTTTGTTCCAGGATCATTCCTAATACGTTCTCTAATTCCACAGTGAAAAGCTTCTGTATTCTTTAGCTCTGCTTACTAAACCAGAATTGTTTTTGCTCTTCTACTTTCTTATTCTTCTAAGATGATTCTGAAGTAAGAACACAGTCCTTTCATAAAACCGTTTTCCTAATATTCTAAACCTTTTTACTGTGATTTAGTCTCATAAGTTTGAAATTTACTTTTTGATTCCTGCACTTCTAAAACTGTTTGATGCAAGTTTCTTCTGATTACAACGTTGTGACTAGAAAGTATGTCCTATTTTAAAACTCAGTGCACTATACAGAGCTCATTTAAAGTTAAACAATTTCTCGTTATCCATGAAGGTTCTTAGGCTTTTTCATCAAATTGATATTATACAGGAGGGGTTTTTTAAAACCTTTAAAATATATTTTTAGATTTAAATTATTTTTGAGATGTTACTTAACTTTAAAAAATATATTTTTATGTGTTTGTTTCAAGAATGGTGACTTAAAATCAGTTGCTAAATATTTAAAGTTTTTAAAATGTATATTAGTAATGCATAATATTATAGTGTGTTTAATATATGTACTCAGAGGGGGAGCAGACTCCACTTGTGCTTTAAAACAGCCCAGCCCATCCCTTTCTCATTTGGGTAAAACTCATGGCCACAGCTCAGGGCTGTCTTAGCTCTGTAACAGTAACAGCTGACAGGTAACTTCCAGTAATTAGGGAGCAAGAAATATTTCCCAGTTACACTTGTCAGGCAGTCTGTTGTAGGAAGCATGCTATTTGTGTTAATATAGATATTTTCTAAAGTGTACATTATCTTCAGTCTATAGTTTCTTTTTAATATATGTTGAATGAATATTTGTTTACTTTTGTTTCCCCCATTCCTTTTTAGGCTTCTCTACAGTTTAGCCTTTAATGCCAGGTTTCTGAGACATCTTTGGTTTCTTATATCTTCTATGACAACACGGATGATCACAGGGTATGTGTTATAAGCACTTAGAAATTGAGCTTAAGGACATGGAAGTAACAACCTAATAAAAAATACTGTAAGGTGATCTTTTTTGAGTACTACTTAGACTTAGCTTATTTAATATTAGAAGAAAAATTCTAGATGGTCTCAATTTCACAAAAGGAAAAATTAATACCTTATTTTACAGTTGTTTGTCTGTACATATTATTAAGAGGTTGCCTTCATCCGAGGGTAAATTTGTTTTAAAAATCCCAGTCATGTTTTGAAACCCAGAGACTTGAAATTTCTTTGGTCCATATGGCTTTCCTATGCTTTTGATTGTGAAATTACAGATTTGAAGAAAATCTAACACCATTACAAACATTAAAACATATAAAATTTTGTAGAAGTTGCTTTTTAAAATGTTTTGTTGAAACAATTTCATTTTTCTTATGTGAATCATTGTGTAACTTGGGGGCCAGAATCTTTAGGATACGTATTTTAATTAAATGTGTAATAAGTGGAAAATTTAATATTCAAAAATCCTTCATGATGACCTGGCTTAGCCCATTACCATCGTGAATTTCTCCTGTCAGCAGTCTAAGCTAATCCCTCTGTACTGTAATATGAAAAGATAACATGTGTAACTCAGTGGATTGGAGACTAAACTTCCAAAATGTAACTGTGTATGATGCTAACTCTTCTAGTAATTATGGAAGTCACCACTATTGACCACATGCTAGGAGCCAGCCTATCCTATGACGGAAAGGCACATCTCAGTTTTACAACAGGAGTTTAGAAGGAAGAACGTTTCTTTTCCTTTCATGTTTTGGGGGGTTATTTTGTGGGGGGCGGTGGAGGAGGGACAAGAAATTGAAAGAAAGAATTTTTGGTAGGCGGGGTGGTGCCCAAAATTTAAATAAGCACTCATCTGCAATCTAATTTGGTCTGTGATATGTTAGATGTGACTGAAAAATCTTGTGTTGAGATTTCTGGATCTTGAGTTTTTTTGTGTGCTATGCAGAGAAAAAGATGATCACGTTTTAGTGACTTTGTATTGGTTGCAGTCAGTCCTGTAGTCAAGGAGTCAGTCTCAGATCATCTTACTAATAAAAGGAGATTGTCAGTTTACTAATAGCCTTACTTTGAATTACTTTCATGTTTTTTTCATTTAATTTTAATGCATCTTAAGTGAATAAAGGAAGTTTTTAATGATGCCACTGCACCTGATGAAACTCATAAAGGTTAAGTGATTTAGCTTGTTTGACAGTGAGCCGCAGAAGTAGTGATGTGAGAGAAATCTAGAAAACATCAATGTCTAGAAAAATTATTTTATATCCTTTCATTTTCAAATTAAAATGTAAGGTTTTGGGGTATGTTTTTGTTTTTTGGGGGGTACATTTCAGCCCCTTATGACTATGCCAGCCTTGGCTTTCATGAATGACAGGTTTGTTTAGGGCAGAAGGAGATTGGGAATCATTGAAACAGGAAATTATCATTGACCTATGAGTGTCTCAGCTTAGCAACAGAGACCCCATCGTAGCTCTTCCTGATGACTGCCTACTGGTTTATGGTATTTGTTGCTTGGTGAGGAAGTGGAGTCTTGGTGTGTGAAAGAAAAGTGAGGTATAATTAATTATAGTAGATTATTAATTTTATTTTATAAATTGGTAAAGTCATACAAATTTTTTTAATTCATTATTTCTTAAAAGCTAGTTCGAGAATTTGAGTCTCTTTTTACTCGTTTAATTTATTAAAATAAAGTCCGTCAAGAAACTTGCAGTGTTATTAATACAGCCCTAATGTATATCTCATCATATTTACTCCTGGAACAAAATTTTAAATGAAATGCTTGATTTTTCTGAAGATGGCACTGGGTTTAACTTGAAAGTGGTTTCATAGCAAGGCTTACACGGTGGGGACTCCTAAGCTTAGTGAACATAAGGATCATCAGAGGAGTGTATCAAATGTGGATTTCCTTGTCTGACCCCTGAGACTTGGGTTCAGGGCCTGGGTTGGAAGCCTGGGGTCTTGGACCTCACAGGTCCTCGGTGACGGAGGTGCAGGTGCAGATGAAGGAACACCTGGACGGCTGGTCTCTGTTCTCTGAGACGTCCCTGTACCAAAACCATCACCAGGGCACTTTGCCCATGTCACCGGCTCGTGCATCAGCCCGGTGGCTCCTCTCATCCTGAGGCTAGCATGGTTCCTGTTGTCTTTCACTGAACAGGGATTGTTTTGGTTACGTATTGCCCATTTCTTTCCATATCAACACCAGCAGTAAGTAGTGCTTACAGGAGACTAAGTAGTGCTCTTGAGACTTGGTTAAGGCCAGGGTGTGTTCAGTGGCAGCTTCTCTAGAAGGGGAGAAGCTCTTTCAGGTAAGGGGGGTGCAGGAGGGATTCCCGCAGGCCAGTGGGAAAACTTCTCAGGGTGTGCACGGGGCGAGGGATTGTCTGAGGTCTCCCTGATGCTCATAGTGCAGCCAACTCTCTGAGTTACGAATCAATGTCTTTTCCATTACAGTAAATTATGGACTTTTTATTTGTACATAAGTCTTTGAGATTGACCTGTTTTCAGAGGAATATTTGAACCAGTGTTTATGGCAGAAAGAGTGATCAGCAGAGAATCATGAGCCATGTGTTTCATTTACGTCCCAGCTGGATGAGACCACAGGCACATAGCTGAACCTTCTGGCCAATCACATTTTTTGTCATTAAAACAAGAATGATTAATTCCTTCTGCTTACCTCACAGGGGGTTAAAGAAAACAAATAAGCTAATGTTGAATAATTGCCCTTGTTGGTTTTTAAGGAACCAGTATAGGAGTTTTATGCGTTGTGGCATATATGTGCATAATTAAGGATGATGAGGATTTTGAGTACAAGGATTATTGACAAGTATAACAGCTGAAAACTGGTTTATCACTTTCTTAGATTCAGGAGATACTTTGTCCACATTGCAGCTGGTTAACTCAACCTCTCCTGTGTTCCCCTAGATAGTGTTTGTTCATCAGTATTATCTGTTACATTTTAGTTCTGCATTTAGTGGCAAGGGAACTGAGAGGTTTAAACCATTATTTTTACTAACACCAGCAAAACATATGACATTACATTTTTTTTCTTCTGTATGTGAGCAAAATTTTTACTGTGTGGAGGCCCAGGCTTGGTGGAAGTGACTCGGGAGACAGGAGAAGGCTCCGTCCTCACGGGACTGGCAGTTGGAAGGGAACCACTGTTGTGCAGTTAAGGCAGCCCCCGCCTCTTTAACCCTGCACATAAACAGCCTTTTCTGTTGTCCTGGCTGTGGCAGTGAGGTAGGACAGTTGTACTTTGTCCCTTTGTGTACATCCTCACTACGTTCGCACTTTGGACGGATCTCTGTCGTTCCTCAGTGCATTCGGCATGGTGGTCAGTGCTGAGTGTTGCGACTGCACACAGGAGTGAGGCGTGTTCAGGGCCTGCAGGACGATAGCAGGAATGGAGACGAGTTCAGGAGTGTATCTGGCTCCCTGTTCTCCTGGCCCTTTTGGTGGCAGTGCTGTCTCCTCAGCTTTGCACCATGGAGACCCGAAAGCTCCGAGGTGGTTCAGCCAAGCTCAGCACAGCCCCACTAGGAATAAACTTACCTGTGTCAGGCCCTCTGCTTTCCTCTCTCATATCACTTTTGGGAGTGATGGGCAGCTAATTGATGATTTGTGGGTCCTGACTCCTGGTCACAGTTCATCCAATATATGCCTGTGGCTTTGTGGAAAAAGATGTTTAAGGTGTAAACATACAGGGAGGAAGATAAGAGAGTGATCTTGCCCACAGCGTCTGCTAACCCAGGACTGATTTGACTTGTGATAGGGGACCCACAGACTTGATAGTTTGAAAAGAGCTTACAAGTGAACTTCTGTAGCTAAATGTTCAGTAAGACAAGGAACTGCATTGACCCAAGGGAGAAAGGGAGCAGATTCCAGGTGGGAGAAGTAAATTTAATAGCTCATAGCTCTTGACAGGTGAGGGCGACTACAGAGCTCTCTGAAGACTGTCTCACCTTCAAGCTGCTCTGGGTGGCTGCGTGATGCTTCGTAAAAGCAGGAGCAATAGTAGGAGCTGGTAAATAAACTTGGAAAATACAAACGAGGCCCAGTATAGAAAAGAAGAAACTGTTCCTGAAGGTTCTAACCTGAGTTCAATAGTCAACTGTTTTGAATGTTCCTAACTGTAAATAGCTGGATAAATTTTTCATGAGACCAGAATGATCTGCCTTTAAGTATGTTAAGTAGAGGGGGAAAGGGGCAGTTTTCAACGTAAAAGTAAAGTGTTTAATAGGGGCATTACTTACTATAACTCTTCTCTTAGGGTCAGCCTTGGGACCACTAGCTCACTCTAGTAACGAAATTTGTCCAGTGGATAATAGTAGCAGGAACATTAATAAAGAGTGGTGGTTTAGCGTCCTATTTTTTAATTTATGTTATTTATTAACCTCTATTGTTGGAATGACTTTACCTTCCCTGTAAGTAGTTTAATTGTTAATATAAATGTTGTTTTCCCTGATTATATTTGCTGATGTCATGTCTTAATTTGTTCCCTAACTAGAACTAATCGTGAATCATTGTGATTTTTTCCTTCCCTTTCTCCACGTCAAGGTCTATGGTACCATTGCTTCAGGTGATATCAAGGGGTTCTCCTATGTCTTTTGAAGATTCCAGTCGAATCATCCCCCTCTTTTACCTTTTTAGCTCCTTGTTTAGTCATTCACTAATTTCCATACATGATAATGAATTCTTCGGTGACCCCATAGAAGGTAAGAATTATGAGGGATCAGTTTGTTGCTGGCCCCATGGCCTATCTGTTTTCATAGATGATAGAAAAGTTTTAAGTCTTTCACTGTATGTTGAGAAATGAAAAAAAGACAAATATGGTAGAAAACTGGATTATGTTTTTCAGTTGTAGGTCAAAGACAATCATCAATGATGCCTTTTACTTTAGAAGAACTAATAATGTTGTCTCGATGCCTCCGAGATGCGTGCTTAGGGATCATCAAGTTGGCTTATCCGGAAACAAAACCAGAAGTTCGAGAAGAATATATTATAGCATTTCAAAGTATTGGAGTTACTACTAATTCTGAAATGCAACAGTGTATACAGATGGAACAAAAACGATGGATTCAGTTATTTAAGGTATACAGTATATGTATTTTTTTGTTTTTTTGAGGTCAAATAATATACAAATTTGTTTTAACTTGACTCAGAAGAATAGAAATACAGGTTTGTTTCAGGCATAATTTTTAATTTGCAGAAGTTTTAAATTAAGAAAAGTCATTTTTGTTTTACATTTGCCTCCTTTTAAAACCTGGTTTTTCCCTTGTTGCATGCATCTTTTATAAATTGCCCTAAGTACTTTTAGTGACAAAGTAAAGTATAAATAAAAGTTTTTAAATGTTTCCGTTTTTATTTTTCTCTACAAGAACTCTTACTGATTTTATTTTTTTAGTCTTTTAAGAACTTGACTAACAAAGGTGGAATAAGGTCATTAATTTATTGCAAGTGGAATATAAATTATTTTAAAATATCTTCATCTTTAACCATGCAGAAAGAGAGGTTATGAGTTACTGTGGTTGGAATGTTGACAGGAAACCACGACCACTGAAAATATAACTATTGGGTTAGAAAAAAAGGAAAGAAAAGGGTGCTTGACTTCCCATGAAATTTCTGCAGCAAACACATCTAGTCAGCTAAAATCGCTCATTAAAGGAGTGAGAGCAGAAGAAATGCATTTTCCAAATTGAATGCTAGATTTACAGTCCGTTTAATACTAGCGACCTCTCGCACACTAATGTTCAGTTCGAGTCATCAGCTGTCCCTTTAGGTCTTTTATCACTGCTTTTGTCAAGCTATCTATTTAATTGAAAGAAGTTAATTGAATGAAAATGATCAACTAAGCTTGTATTAATATTGCTAATGGAACTTTCTTCTTGGCCATGTTTGGAGGAAGATGTCAAGCTAGACTTTAGGAAAGGCCCATTAATGCTTGCACTTAACCTGATGGGCTAATTAAGGACTGCTTATTCATCCTACGAGTGCACGATAGTCTCTATCCAGCCCATTCTGCCTGATTTTACAACACATTTCACTTATGAGCATGAGCATTAGTAGCAGTGAGAGTAACTGATAATGTTTTGATCGCACTGAATACAGTACTAATGCATCATTGAATTTATAATTTGTGCAGATTGATGTAATATATGTTTGCACAAGTTATTTTAATTACCTATCTCTGTATTCCTAAGTAAACTTTGAAGGTCACATGTTGAGTCCTTAATAGATTCTTTCTTAAAGATTGACAATTATGCAACTTTTCTAAGTTAAAAATAAGCTGTCTCACCCATTGAAAACTTGCCATTCTTTTGTAAGCTTTTCTTGGATATGGGTATTATGGTAGCATGTGTCTTCTTCTTTAAGTATTTAATTAAACTCTGAGATCTTTGTTAATAAAGCTTTCCATTATGTAGGATATTAGGTTTTGTGTACAGTGTCAGATAATTTCATTGTTTTATAGCACCTATTGAGAATTTCATAATTTTCGTATGACAGACTTATCTTTAGGACCTAGAAATATCTGAATTTAATAATGCTATATAAGATATTTTTCCCCTGGCACTATTTTATTTTGCTTAAGCATTACATGAAAATTTTGTAGTGAATTTTTTCTTATGCCTCAAAATGACTCATTACCACTTCATTAAGGATTGAGGGTTTTAAGAATTAGAGTGAAAGTTCACTTTTTTTAATACAGGATTATTTTAGGTTCAAAATTGAGTTGTTACAAAGACCTTCTGAATTTAGAGCAGAATTATTTGAAGACAACTTTTTGAACAGGATTCCTATTCTTTGGGGTAAAAAAAGTTTTAATCTTAGCTGCTATTGAGCTGAGCCCTAAAAATAAGAAAAAATCAAGGCAGAGTCTTTGAGTGGAGAAGCGTTCAGCTGCTATTAGTTTTTCTTTTAAGAAAAAATTTTCTTTAATATGAAATAATAAAAGTGTACCTCTCAGTTGTTAGCATGTTCCAGACAGTATTCTAAGAGCTTTCCAAATATTAATTCATTTAATGCAGTAGTTCTGTGAGGTTCCCCATTGTACACATGAGGTCACATAGCTAGTAGATGATAGAACCAGCATTGGAACTCAGCTGCTCCTTTATGTTCCCCCTCTGAAAAGTACTAAAATAAAATGTTAGCATTTTCTGTATATTTCATTGCCAAACTTGAGTTGAAGAATTCAAGGTAGAATCAACCAAAGAAGGTGAAAAGCATTTGCCAATGATTTCCTGCCTTCCGTTGATTTTGACAGAATTGCAAATGATGAGATCTGACTCCTTCGACCACCGACCATTCTCATTTTTCAGTCTTGTGATGGTCCTCTCGAACTAATTTCTGTAAGAGGCTCTGTTGGCTGGTCACAGAACATAGCATTTTAAGTGGATGGAGTCATCTTTCTTTGTCACTATAAGAATTGAGGTCAGTTTCTAGGCCCTGCATTGACACTGCTAAAACAGTTTATGCATTTATCAAATTTATAAACTCCTCTTGAAGTGTAATTTATAGCTATAATTGCTTTAGCCCTTTGAGGAGATAGGAACTCCTTTTTGATGTGCCTTTGTTTGCAGCTACCAGACTGAATAGGAGTTACCTTGGAGGAAGCAGGCGTATTGGGGGAGCAGGGGTAGGTTTTCATGCCGTCCTTACCTACGGATATCCATATGTACAGAGGGAGAGGTCTATATTGTGAGGAATTTTCACTTTCTTGATGGTTGATTTGTGTTTTTCAGTTTCAAAAGGACTTTTTAAAAAAGTAAAAAATTAAAACAACAGCAGTGCCCTAACTACATCCCTAACCTGCCACTGTGAACCGAATGACGCAGAGCAGCACACCCTCTGTTCTTGGACAGCATGCCATGTCCTTTCCTGTCTTTGAAGATTTTTGTTGTTGTTTTTGACTATAAATAAAATGGATGCTTTAAGAAGTAATTTTGTAGTGTTTTAAGCATGCCGGAGAATACTGCTGTCTTTAAAAACATACCAATTTTAGCAAGTGGAAACTAAGGGCTACATAAAGCTTCATTAAGCTTTGACCGCAGTAATCCATATCAGACACTTGATGACTTTTATAGGTTAGGGTGTCATTACTATCAATTATTTAAACACCTGCAGTCTTTATCCAAGGAACACGACTCCACCTTGTGCCAGGGGAGTCATAAAGGAAGTCGACTGAGTCCCCGTTCTGTCAGTGTCGCTATGTAGTAAAAGAGACAAACATTCAACCAAGTACACTGAGATGGAACAAAGCTGAGAGATGGGTGCTGTTGGGACACGCAGGATGGAACAAACAGCTGCTCGAGTCAGTCTCGGCTTTTGATTTATGCCAGGAAAACTGTCATCTGGTCTTCTGTGAGATGGGATTCTTAGAGCTGTGCATTACCAGCTTTTCTTGTGTTTTCATTTCTGTATATTCTTCATTATGAGATCAAATTTTTAAAAAATTCTTATTTGATATATATTTACCATATTACACATTTACCACAGTTAAGTACCCGTAAATTATGTGCTGTATCCTATGCTTTGTATTGAACTTTTTAAGGAATTACCTAAGATGTTTAATTTTACTTACCAGATTTTGCATATCAGATTTAAGATAAAAAGATTATTTTATATTATAATGTAAATTAGTCTTTGAGTTGCCTTTCGAAATTTGGGCTATATGTACTTTTTTGGGTGTAGTAATATAACTAAGTATTAATGATCTCCATTCAGAAATGTCATACTTTAACACCAATAGCCTTAAGTCCTCTAAGAAATATTATATTTATAACACATCATTGTTATTTACATTATATCTATAAATTTGTTAAATGATGTGAGGTAGGTCATGTTGAGGAGTACTTCCCTAGGGTCATTAGTCAAGATTTCTTGTGATCGCCATAGCCAGTGAGCTCTCAAACATACAGGGATCTTGTGAGAAACAGTGCCTGTTAATTTGTAATCTTTAACTCAGACAGCTGTCAAGTGTGATATCTATGAGGAGTCTATATGTTTCTAAGCAGTTATCTGCTTGATCTTTTAACGTTGGGGTTAAGGGAGTCCTGCTTACAGGTATCGCCTGCTTTAATTTATTTCACATAGTAGATAATAGAACATGTGTAACAGTGGTGTGCATTTCTGAGTATTTACTTGAATAATTTTATTAGTTTTTGAGCATTTATTTAATCTAAGGTTTAGATCTAGTATGAAGAACATGATATAGGGACTAGAGTTAAACCCGTCAAATACATAGAATGCTGTTGTATTTTGACTATTAAAGTCACTGAACCGTACATTGAGCTGGGTGCATCTGGTTATTCCACTGTTTGCTTGTTTTGCTGTTTTATTTGACTTTATATTCCTTTTATATTTTTTTAAAGATTGCCACCTGAGCTAACAACTGTTGCCAATCTTTTTTTGTTGTTCTGCTTTTTCTCCCCAAATCTTCCCCAGTACAAAGTTGCATACTTTTTAGTTGTGGGTCCTTCTAGTTGTGGCATGTGGGACGCCGCCTCAGCGTGGTCTGATGAGCAGTGCCATGTCCGCGCCCAGGATTCGAACTGGCGAAACCCTGGGCCGCTGAAGCGGAGCTCGTGAACTTAACCACTCAGCCACGGGGCTGGCCCCGACTTCATATTTCTTAACACACTGGTTCTCAAGTCTGACTGCATAACGGGATCTCCTGGGGAATGGTTAAAGACAGTTATTGACTGGCCTCACCTCAAACGAATTGAGTTAAAATTGCTGTGGTGGTGCCCCTGTGTGGGCATTTATCAACGGAAGATTCGAGTACGCAGCTGGGGTTAGGAACCGCAGGCCTGACTGTACAGAGAATACACTTTGGGCAGATAGTTCTAACCCTCGCTCTCCGTTTGCAAAGTCGGCCTCCCCGTGACTTGCCCTGTTTAAATCAGAATTCTGCAAGTCGTTCAGCTTTGGTGCAGTCTTCTTTCATAGGTGCATCCATGCCAGGAAATTGGAGAAAATGAACTGGAAGGAAAGGTGTCTTCTGATCTCAGCAGTGGCTCTCTGTTAATCCAGTTTTAAATTGTTACTCCAGTTTTCCTTACCTTTTACAGTCTTTAGCCAATTTATGTAATTTTTTAATGATTACTTCCATAAACTTTGCTTTTTTGGTACTAAATATTTGTATAGCAATTAAGTTTGTGAAAATGAATGCAGGGAAAAGGAACGTGTGTAAAGGTGTTTGACACCACAAAATGGACCCAAATTTTCATGGTTTCTTAAAATTTGTATTTTTCTTTAAAACTTGGAAGAAAAATAGTTTAAATGAAGGAGGAGAATGTTCTTAGTTGAATTTAAGATATGGGATTTGGCATTCCTAAAAATATTTTTGGAATTGGTCCAGGGCTAGTATTGCCAGATTTAGCAAATAAAAATCCATATCACCCAGGTAAATTTGAGTTTCAAATAAACAACAAATGGTTTTTTTGATATAAATCTGTACTGTGCAATATTTAGGATATACTTATACTTTTAATAAAGCAATATTTGAGACATAGTTATACTAAAATAATTATTTGATGCTTATCTGAAATTCAAATTTAACTAGGTGTCCTCACTTTTCTCTACCAACCCTCTCCAGGGCTCATCTTCAAGTTCAGTTGACTATCGACTTTGGTTTGTTACAGTGTGGTTTTCCGCAGTGATCTCTGTTGACACCCCTTCCTCACACATCTTCTTGGGCCCAGATCACTTTGTGCCTTCTCTCCCCCTTCTCCCACCTCTCTCTCTCTTTCCCTTTGTTTGAAAGAGGATGGATGATACTGGGACATTTTATAGATAATATATAATTACTTCTTTTCTCACATTTAAAATTGAAAATAGGAAAGGAAATGCCTATATTGAAACTTTTTAATGTTTAATTTAATAATAATTTAAAAGAAGAATATAAATTATGGCATTAGCCTCATAGAAAGTTTAATAATGTTTGCCACCTGTAGAAAATAAATGTCCTCATAAATATAGATGAGATAGAGATGAATACCAGCAGGTGGATAAAATTTTGTTTTGTAGAGTTAGGCAGCCCTTGTCCTGCCCCTTCCAAGACCATGAGCAAGTTACTTATCCTCAGTGAAGCTAAGTTCCCTTAAATGTACAGTGGGGTGATAAATTCATGAGGATGTCAAGATTCAGTGGGATGATACGTGTAAGCCATAAGTACATGGGTGCAATTAAATAAATACATGTAAATATTTCATATCTTTTGTTAACAGTTGTGGTGTATTGCGGGTAAATTTCAGCACAATATTAAATCTGAATTTACTTAAAATGCCGATATAATTGGCTGTGAAAATTGGAAAATAAGATATGATGTTCTTCATACAAGAATATTGTCCTCCTGTCTCCAGTATTGGAAAAGCATATGTTGAGTTTTATGTGGTGTGCTCTGTGTGGACTGACCTGAACTTGTCCCAGACCAAGATAGCACATGTAATGTAACTTGTTAAGATTTATTTAGCCTTTTCTTTTGAAGAACAAAACTGAGAGACTTCCAGGAATTAAGTGCGTTAGGTCAGTGACCATACTTTGTTATGACCAGCTGTTAACGAGATAGAGCCCAGAACTAGGCTATCCTCAGTCCACCTCAGCTGCGCTTGAAATCAGTAATCATAAAACACTGCCTGTGTGCACCTAACTCCCGAGGAACCACAACAGAATCAGGAGTCAGGGACAAGGACTCTGAATTCACCCTGACTTCTTACCTAAGCTAATTTCTGCTAATACAAAAAGGACATTACCGTAATATTATGATAAGCTTTAGAATGCCACAAGATGTCACATCTATATCTAGGCAAGATACATCCACCAGTTGAAAAGCTGTATTCTACATCTTGAGAGGTTTTTCCTAATGTAGTTTTGCCCACATGGCCCAACTGCTCAAGTATTACTCTGTCCATGGGCATACCATCCAAGTGGTGTCCACATTGTAGTGTCCTGACATACCAATTGAGGACCCTTTCTCATTCATTTTCATTGGACACCCAGAATTTCTGGTATCCCTGGATGCCAGGATTTGCATGTTATAAAAGAAGTATTTGTATTTTTGTTGTATAGAGATGCTAAACTGTGTGATTTTAAAGGGAAACCTGTATTTGAGATTATGCGGTCTTGCTTGTTATAGTTGGTATATTTGGAAATTTGTCACGTTACCCTAATATTATTATTCCTTGTCTAAGTTCTGTTTTACTTAATTGGAGGCAGCGTGTACACGAGCCTGGCTGACTTTCAGAAAACACCATCATAGTCTTACTTTAACTGCATAGTAGTTGTATGATCAAATCCTGGTTGTAAAGGCTTAAAACTTTGGATTTACAATTTTATTTTGGTTTGTATATTACAGAATACATTTCTGTGTAATATAGAAATCAGGTCTTTTTTAAATAAACAGTGCTATTAGATCTCTTTAATCATATATTACAAAATTTACAGTTAATTACTGTTCTCAGGTCAGTCATCGAGTAGCTACTACGTTTCCAGGTTGTTAGTTGGTTCTGTTCATGGGGAGCTTACTGCATAACCAGAGAGGCACTGAGGCTCACTGGAAAAAGAATAATAAAGGACTAAGCTATAATAATGCAGTGGAAGTTTAGACAGGCCAGAGCATTTTGAGAAGCTTTATGAAGGAAGTTAGACTAAGTTTGTGTGGAATTATGGTAGGAAGTAGACCTAACTGCAGAGACTTATGTAAGGGAAATACTGAAATTGTTTCTCTTTTTGGAAGATGTGAGAGATGTACTTAGGATGCTTCTTTGTCCCCCCAGCACCCTTGATATAGTGTTTATCAGAAAAATAAGAAATGCTATTTTACCTTAGGAAGAAGTATCATAAAATTGTTTTACTTGGAGATGTCTCGTATTACAGCCCAAATGACCTAATGTTTTCCAGATTTGTTTTTCAAAACTTAATTACTACCTCCCTTGTAGTATTTAAAAAATCAGGCTGCTCACTTTATTTATGTTAATTTTTCTGTCTTTGTTTGCACATAACTAACTTCTTTGTACTTAAAACTTATTCTTGTGATCACACACTGAGATAGTTTTCTGTAAACTGGTGGTGGTCCAGTCAGGTCTCGATCCCCGAAACCCACACCCTGTCAAGCGTGTGGGTGGAGAAGTGTGCCGTGGCTCTGACTCCCCATGGGTGCTGCTGCTCACTCGTGTGCGGGGCAGTTCCTGAGCTTGTTTATATGACATAGGCCTGTTTTTCCTCTTCAGGTCATCACCAATCTAGTGAAAATGTTGAAGTCCAGAGACACAAGGAGAAATTTTTGTCCTCCAAATCACTGGCTGTCAGAACAAGAAGATATTAAAGCAGATAAGGTGTTACTGAAAGATCTTTTTAATATTTTTCATTAAACATTTTTTTAGTTTTTGTCTTTATGGGGAAAGAAATAATCCTTTAAAGTTGTTTGTTACTTGTTATACAACTAAGTATTAGCAGTAAACTTTATTACTAGCTCTGAGGTCACATAATAGAATATATAGTAATATCATTGATTTAACATGCATCCTGAGTTTGTTATTAAACCTAAGTTGCTCTTTTAACCATAGATTATATCGAAGCCTAATAATGCTTTGTTGGTGTTGAAAAAGATTTTGCCTTTATTGGTATTAATTATCCATCTGTATTTAGTACTTAAATGACACAGAGCCTATCCTTGGTGTTCTAAAACAACAGGGACAAATTTGAATATTACTAAAATCTATATCTAAAGTAGACTCATAGTATAACATATTAAAAAATTAATGGAAAAAACATTAACAAAGGACATGAGGTGGTGTTATTTTTTGTCAGAAAAAGGCACGACTGGATTCATTTCAGAATCTTGGGGACAAGGTCAGAGAGTGGAGGGGTATAGCAGAAACAAGATTACAGAAACAGTAAAGAAAAGAAAACGTGTATTTTAGAACAGTTTCAGAAGCATTACTATGTCTGCATAAGATATTTTATCTTTTAAATTAAGCACGTGGCTTCTAGCTCTACCCACTGACCCAATCAAGAAACCTGATAGATCCCGGAGCAGTGAATACCTCCGGGCCCAGAGTGGGGCCTCTAAACAACTTTTCCCACCAAAAGAACCAGGCCTTGGTGGGATGTTAGTTCAGTGACAATTTTCCTCACCAAAAAAAAAAAAGGGAAAAAACCCCCAAACCTGAATGTGATGAAACCTCTAGATGTAACTACAAATTTATAGGAAATAGAAGGGCCAGATGTACATGTTAAATAACAACATGAGAGTGTGATGAGCAAAATCCAGATGATGGGAATATTACAGGACAAATGCTTCTGCTTCGTCTAAAATTATAAGGGCAAAAATAAGGGCTGAAGGACAAATTAAAGCATACTCTACCAAGCTTATTTGATAATAGGAAGAAACTTTATTTTATTTTATTTGGTGAGGAAGATTGCCCCTGAGCTAACATCTGTGCCAGTCTTCCTCTATTTTATATGTGGGCTGCCCCTACAGCAAGGCCCTCGTTAAATAGAACAAGTAGAGATTTCCTTGGGATGTGTTAGAAAAATAATTACACCGTACAGGTGTAAAAGAGCAGCCAGCTGGGAAGAGAGGACATGGAAAGGTCACCTGGAAAGGACATGAGGTCAAAAGGAGGGACCTAGCTACCTGTAAAGCAGTGAGAACATGGATTCTGTTCACACGGGACAAGCTCAGAGTTAGTACTAGGACACAAGGAAGTCCTGAGCAGGGGTTGCTGTCCACGCAGGTCACCCAGCTCTACGTACCAGCTTCCAGACCCGCGTGGAGGCTCCGGCGCATGGGCAGGATCGGCCCTCTGCAGTCCACTCTGGACGGTGAGTGCGCTGGGAGCTGCGTTTTCCCCAGGTCCATGGAGGCGTGATTTACGTACGTGCAAGTTGCTCTTTTTAGTGCACTCGTCTGTGATTTCTGGTGAGCACACACCACCATGAGCAACCACGTAGAATAGTTTCCTCACTCTAGAAATTACCGCATGCTGCTTTGTAGCCAGCCCCATCCCCGGGCAGCCCCTGATTGTCTGTTGTCCCTATAGCTTTGCCTTTTCCAGAATGTCTCTGAATTGAACCATAGAGCGTGTAGCCTTGTGAGTCTGGAAAGGAAAGTGCACATCACTAATGCGGGTTTGAACTGTGTTGCAGTGGGTTTGGAGTCCCCACCTCTGTCAGTGTCGGAGGAGAGACAACTCGCCATCCTGACAGAGCTGCCCTTTGTGGTTCCATTTGAGGAACGAGTAAAGGTAGGAAATTTGGTTTCTTCATGGAGTCACTATGAATGTTTTATGGTTGTTTATATCACTTCAGTGTTAAAAAATTAACACCAATGAAAAACATCTCTGAAGTTGCCTAGTGCCTACCTAATTATGTAATTTATATTTTTCTCATTAGATTGTGATAATTTATGACAATTTGTAAAAGCATAATCCAACCAAGTATCTCCTTGTATAAACCTGAAATATTTTTTCCTTAGTTGTAGCTAGTTTTTAAAAGACCTGTAATGCTGTATCAATTTATTATAATGGGAGTATAAGGTCCTTTTTGTCTAGTAAATTTTGCGTTGTTTTTGAAAATGCAATTTTTAAAAAAGATAAGTTTCTGTACATTATCTTAAAGTTATATATCACAAACACTGCCTTATGAAAAAGAGATGGATATACAGGTATCTTAATTTCTCGCCTGGTGATTTTTGACTAATATACAAACTGTTTATATTTATCTGTTTCCAAATTTAACTTAAAATGTTTTGTTTGTGTTCATCAAGTTTACTTAGCAAATTTGTGAAAACTACTAGGCTCTATTCTTAGGAAATGGCTTTAAGAGGGTATTTTTTAGGCCTACCCACTCTTTTTTATAGGATGAACAAAAGAATGAGTTCCTTTTAAAGCTGTTGATATTTCTCTATTAAAACACATACATGCACACACACACAGACATACACATGTTATTACATAATTCCTGAGCTCCCTCTACTGGATTTTTAGTGTCAAAAAAAATTACTTGAGTTTTATTTATCGTTACGGAGATATTCCCAGTAATGTTTAATATACAGCTCTAAAAGCTGTTTTTCTTCCCTTCACCACCTGGGTTTTTATAAAGGGCTTACAAAAGAAAATACTGAAAATATACTATAGCATGCGATTTTAAAAATTTGTTGTAAAATGGGGAAAAGGAGCAATATTACAAATAAGTAAATATCACATATTTATTGATAAGGCATAAAAGCAGTATTTAGTACCTTGGCCTTTAAATTTTATTTCAGAATTTTGGAAATAAGCTAGGATTTATTTAGCAGTTTTCCCTTTTGGTTGCTTATGTTTATAATGAAAAGTCTGTTGTTTCAAATAACCTTACAGCTTCTCCTGTTTGTTAGATCTTTCAAAGGTTGATTTATGCAGATAAGCAAGAAGTTCAAGGAGATGGTCCATTTCTGGATGGAATTAATGTTACAATAAGAAGAAATTATATTTATGAAGATGCTTATGACAAACTTTCCCCAGAAAATGGTACATATAATTCTCTCTTTGTGTATGCATGTTGGCAGGGGGAGGCTGAGGCATTATTTTAGAAAAAGGTCTTCATTAAAAAATTAGTGTCCATCTTGTTCTGTAGTGGCTTTTTAAAACTGAAATGTAGTAGGTCAGATTTGGGAGATGTATTTTATCCAATAATGTTCCTAAGATTGACAAATAATTATTGCAACAGAAGCCTTTCAAATATTGATTTTTTTTTTAAGGCAAGAAACTCCCCCACTGACCCCAGATGTCTCTCTCTAAAATTCAATCAACAACCTATAGTTCTAAAAATGTTGATGGGAAACCATTTACTTTCTACATTTTATGTAACTATTTATGTAAATATTATAAATTATGATCCAAATTAAATATACTAAAATAAACACCATTGCGATCCTAATTTCTTTATAAAAAGATGAGTGCTTCAATGACGGTACTCTTAGATCAAAGAGAATTATATTGTAACAATTATTTGGACAGCATTTAGCGGTCAATGATACCTTTTATCTTCTGTTAATATTTGACACCCAATGTTAAAAGTTTGGGTATTATTAATTTATATATTAATAATTTTAACTTCAGACTATGGTATCTGTGATATTCATTAAATCAGTGTAGGGAATTAAAAACGAAAGCTTGGCAGGATCTGGCTCACAGCTTGGGAGATGATGGGAGGTTGTCACATGTGAAATAACAGTTGCCTTTTCTTCTAAGGAAGTAATTTAATTTTCTTCTGGGAGAGCAAAACCTCCCATCTTGAATAATTTTGTTTTCTTGCTTAGATAAAGAGCTAAGTTTGCCATCCTGTGGGAACAGTGGAGGGAGACTAACATCACTTGTTGCCTTTCTCAATTCCAGGTTTTCTGTGCAAGGCTTTTGTTTTTGATGTAATTTAGCTTTGTCATTTAATCCATGCCGTAGCCCTCTGAAGCCAAATACCACGAACTCTGATAGAGTTTTAACTCAAGTCTGACCACAGGCTATGAACTCTCCACTATACCGGCTTACTCTTGCCTAGGATACTATGTTTTCACAATTTTATGTATAATTGAGGTGAAGATCAGGTATTCTGATGTCTAGTCTAATGTACTTCTGGAAAAAAAAATAGTTCTCCCTCCTTTGGGATCCACAGTCCCTCATAAATCAATTATTGTCATTGTTTGTGTTGTCATGTGAGCAGATTTCATGTCTGTGTCTCCCAGGTGACCAGCGGTCCTCGCCATCCTTATCCCTTGTCAGCACACACCGCTAGCACTCAGTAGATGTTTGTTAGATTTGTGATTGAACCTGGGGAAAAAACCACAATAGTTACAACAAAATGATAAATTTGCCAACAGTTGGCATAGTGTTCAGAGAAGAGTTGAGGCGTGGTTGAAGTTGGGGCCTTCAGAAAGAGGTCACGCGAGAGGAGGTGAGTCCTCCAGGTGAGGCTATAGCGAAGGGCGCGGACGTTCATGGCACAGCTGATTCCACACTCGGCTGCCTTAGGCTTCCTCCAGGCTGCTGGGAGGTGGTGTGTGTGAGCTCCTCAGCCAAAGTGAGAACATGTGCTTAGCAGCAGTTTTAAATTAAATTTACAACTATTTCATGTAGGTGATTTTTTAAAGACATTACTGACCACTTATAGCAAGCCTCAAATTTCGTAATGAACTCTTAATCTTAAAAATTATTCAGAAGTTGATCATACTCCACCTTCCTAAGTGCCTACTGATAATTGCATCAAGTTTAAAGGATTTGGAAAAATCTCAGAATATTCATGTTAAGTTGTTTTAAATCTTTACAAATGTTGTCTAATTCAGGCCTTAATAAGAAATTTTAAACCATGTGTTGAAATTGTTTGGAATTTTGCTAGGCAAATTAGCAAAATTAAATATCATCTCAGAATGTTTAATTTACTTACGGGAAATTGGTTTGAAGTGCTTTGTTGACTAATCATTTACATATAATCAATTAATATGACTATTCCATACATCATCTAGTCAAAGCAAATCCATCCTTTATGGGTACTCGTTATCTTATATCATCTCAGAACGATTTTCTCAAGTGTGGGTCTTAGCCCTGTCTGACAGGTGAGTTGACTGAGTGGAGCTCAGAGAAGTGGAGTGATTTCTCTTCACAGCTGGGAGCTAAGCAAGCAGAGTGACACATGTCCTGGTGCAATGACGCCTGTGCATGCTCTTTCCACCTCACTGGCTTATTGCAGCGTTTTACTCGAGCAAGAGCGTGGTTTGGACTGTAATTTCTCCATGTGAAGAATATGGAGAAATGATCGTGTCTGCTCTCAGGAGTGTTGTAAGGATTATAGAGACAGTGCATCATAGTGGGCTCTTGCTGTCAGTCATGATCTTGGATGAGAATTTGCTAGAGCTGGCTCTGAATCGCACTGTAGTCAGTTCCTGGGAGCCTCACTTGTCTACACTTTTGTGTGTTGTTTGATTTCATTTTGTTTCATTTAATGGGCAGGGTTTATTACGTTGTTTTCCTGAAGAAGAAATGATAATAGGGTAAAATCAAATTAACGTTTTACTTAGGTTTTTTTCACTAAAACCTTACTATGTAAGTATATATTTTTAATTTGTCCTTAGAAACAAGTAGTGGCAAGATAACAAGAAGGCTAGATTTGATTCTGAAAATATTATTGTGCTGTTGTGTATTGTTGTTTATAGAAATGAGCTTCAGGGAAGCACAGAATCAATTCTAGCCGTCACTGAAGGGGTTACTTCTATGAATGACCATTGAGTCTCTGAGAGCCAGTGACCCCCCCACCTTAGAATATTAGTTTGAATGAGAAGGTTAAAGGGTGAACCATAGTTGAGCATTTCCTACTTAGAAGATCTTTACACTTAAAACTTTGACAAAATCTGCTGCTGCTAACTGCTAACAATCAGTTTGAGAAATATTATATATGACAAATAAATGCTTCTAGTTCATCCTTAACACTAGATGTTAAGAGGGTATATGTAAAGGTAAGAAATACCCAACTGTATTTTTGTGTTGCATCTATAATTATCTGCTTAGATTTCTTTTGGCATTTGCCCAGAACTTGAGATTGAACATATTTTGTAATCATATTAATGAAAATAGATGCAGATAACATATTTGTAGAATTTAATCATCAGTGAAATGCATGTTCTTCATGTAAGTGTAGTTAAATTTAAAAAATAAAAGTGTTTTAGTAGACGAGCCTATGCTTTGTAGGTAATAGACATATTTTTTAATTATAGCACTTCCCTTTACAATATTAGCTATATGTCTTTAGATAAATAATTCAAACTTCCTTGTTTGTAGTTTTCTCACTGCAAATAGGGATAATTCTTAACCCAGAAGGTTGGATGTTAAAGGATTTGAAGAAATGTATGTAAAATTCCTAGCGTAAATTCTAGCTCAGGGTAAATAGTCACTGATAGTTATTTCTTTGCAAAGTGCAAGAGCGAGCTGTGGCCACATTGTTTAGGCTTGTTTGCTTTGCTCCTGAGGGAGATGTGGGTGTTAAGACAGAGCTGACTTGCTCCAGCTCTTGCCCTTGCTGGCAGGATGAAGGTGACCCTGTCCTGTGCTGGCTCCATGAAAGGCACAGTTGGTAGCTGCGGCCAATGGTGTAAACCTCAGTCCGTACAATTATCATTGGCCCTGTTTGAAACCTATTTAGAATATTCAGAGCTCAGGTTCTCTGACTTCAGAGGTCCTGACACTGTCCATTGTAGCACTGGTGTATGAACATGCATTCTGCTAACCCCTTTCCAGAGTGTTTCCTAGAGGTCACTTGTCCCTTGAGATGCCTCAGGTCAGCTACGTTTGGGTGAGTGCACATTAAGTCTGAAAGATGGCAGCAGCTCATTAAAGCCTGTGGACAGTGGTGCAGTGGCCAGACCTGGTCCTTTTGCTCTCCACCTTGCCACACTGGATGCAGCAGCCCCCTGCCCACTCCTCCATCCCTCCTCCCTACTTATTTGCAAAGCACCTAAAGGACATTGGTGGGAAAAGATAAAGTTCATGTCAGTTACTTTCTCAGACCTGCTCCCTGATTAAGCCTGTCCACCAGAGACCACCTGGTTTTCACTCTTGGTAGAATCACTTTTGTTGGCATGTATTTAGGGTCTGAATCCTGAAGCCTGTATCGAAGGCTGTCATGTTCATGCCAGTGAGTCTGGGGACATGTTATTCCTACTTGTGCAGTACTGTCCTTATGAGGACCTGTGTGGAAACGCCTCTCAGATATCAAGCTTAGTTAAGCAGCTTTGCCATTTTTATTTTTTATTTTATTGGTGAGGAAGGTTGGCCCTAAGCTAACATCCATGCCAGTCCTCGTCTATTTTGTATGTGGGACACCGCCACAGCATGACTTAATGAGTGGTGTGTAGGTCCATGCCTGGGATCCAAACCTGTGAACCCCAGGCCACCAAAGTAGAGTGGGCAAATTTGACCACTATGCCACCAGGCTGGCCGCCCCTCCCCTCCTTTTTTTTTTAAATCTTTGCAGCACGTTATATAACCAAAAATATTTCTACTTTTTCAGCTATCAATATTTCTTAAACATCACTTTTAAATGATGATGTCAGTTCTTACATCTGACTCTCCTGTATCATTGGCCTCTTTCAAAGGTCTTTGTAATGTTAATTTTACTGACATCTTCTTTAATCATTTGTCTTTTTTTTCTTCTTGGTAATAATTTTCTGTTCCAGTATCATCGCTGTGTCCTTAATTCCACTCCCCTCCTCTCCTGGTATTTTAGTTTGTTACATCTTTTAGAATGTGTGGGATAATTGTATTTCCTCCTAAACACCCCCTTTTCTCCCCAACTCCATTCTTGATATATTAATGTAAAGGAACTTCTTTCTCTCTTTTTCCCATTGTAGACTCTGGGGGAAATAACTGGTCAGTCTATTTCATTATCTCTTTGATTTTTTTTGAGTCTTGCAATAAAATATCTCTAATATTCTTGCTCCCCTTCCCTAAACTTCCTGTAATACCAGCTTATTTTATTGCTTTCTTTTAAAATCTTTTCTCCTTGCCCCCGTCCCCCCTTCTTTAACAGAGCCTGATTTGAAAAAGCGGATCCGCGTGCACTTACTCAATGCACATGGCCTGGATGAAGCTGGCATTGACGGGGGTGGTATTTTCAGAGAGTTTCTAAATGAACTACTGAAGTCAGGATTTAACCCCAACCAGGGGTTCTTTAAGACTACTAATGAAGGGCTTCTGTACCCCAACCCAGCTGCTCAGATGCTTGTGGGAGATTCCTTTGCCAGACATTACTACTTCCTGGGCAGAATGCTTGGAAAGGTAAAGTAAACTTTATGTAAAATTGGATCTCAGATCACAAGATACTGACATTTTGTGTTTCTGTGTTGTTGGCGTCTATCTCATTGAAGATCTTTATTCAGAATTGCTTAAGAAATCTGGATGAAGGCTGAACAGTATTTTTTTTTTTACATAATAACTACATTTCATTATTACATACCCAGTAGTTACATACGTAAAAATTATTGGTATAGTATGAAAAACATTATGATATAAAATTCTGTTTATAGAAATCTTAAAATAGTTGTCTGCTAGCATAGGTATGTGGACTGCAAATATTTTAAGCCTTCTCACAGTTGTTCTTGTTGATAATTAGTGTTAAAGGTGGTTCTTTTAAGGTTCCATAAAATGTTTAGGTGCTATGAGATGGAAGATCATATGTTATTCAGTATGATTTAAGTGTTCTATATGTTACATGCAAATTCTATGAAAATTGGCCATTCAAGGATGATATTATGGTAATGCTCCAGTAACCAGAATGTTGCACCTGCTGACTCTCTGTACAAACACAACTTAGCATTTATTGTAAATGAAAGGAAAAGAATTAATTACATAACCTAGTGGAAACTTCCTACTTAATGGTGAAACTTTCAAAACACTCCCTCCCATTAAAGTCAGGAACAAGATAAGGATACCTGGTGATACCAGTCCCGTTCATCATTGACCTGGATCGGCCACAGCCTGTCTTAGTCTCTTCAGACTACTGTAACAAAATACCACAGACTTGGTGGCTTATGAACAGCAGAAATTTATTTCTAACAGTTCTAGAGGCCAGAAGTCCAAGATCAGGGTGCCACATGGTCTTGTTTGGTGGGAGCCCTCTTCCTAGTTCGTGACCAGTGCCTTCTCACTGTGTCCTCACATGGTGGAAAGGGGTGAGGAAGCTCTCTGGGGTCTCTTAAAGACACTAATCCCATTCATGAGGCCCCGCCTCCTAATCCTATCACACTGGGGTTAGGACTTCAACATAGGAATTTTGGGGAGCAGAACATTCAGACTGTAGCACAGCCTGTGGGTGTGCCGTAGTTGGAAACAGAAGGAGATGAGACGCCATTTACATCAGGAGTGGCTAACTGCTGCCCCACAGGTCAAATCCAGTCCAAAAAGAAGCGTTGGTTTTTTTTTTCCTTTTTAATTGATTACTAACATTTTAAAGTGAGGAACGTTTACATACAAGGTTATATTTCTGGCTGAGTTTGTTTTATTTTTTACTTCTTTGCACTTGAAATAGATTTAATGTTGACAGTTGCTAATCCTAGCAAGATGTAGCTGGCAAATATCCCGGTGAAATCAGTAATTGAAACTTATACCTAAGATATTCTAAATGAGGCAGAAAATCATCTGGGTTATTCCATTGGAAGTCACAAATTAATGATTCTTGATTTTTTCTTTGAATGAATGGATTCCATTCTACCAATTCTAACTATATGATAGAACGTGGTACGTTTGGGGAAGTGTACAAGAATTCCTCAATGTTCAAACTCTCACTACCAAATATTGACTATAATGACAGTTAAAACGTTTTACCGCAAATTCACTATCTGAATCAGAAGCCTGTTGTAATATCTTGCAAGTCGAGGCGAAAGGCCAGAGAGAATGCTGAGGTCAAGTCTCAGTGGTTCCCCTGCTGGCTCGCCTTGTCTGAATGAGGCAGCATCTTCCTGTTGTCTCATCAGCGATGCCCTTCATGGTTCCCAGCATCGGCTTCTACCAGGCACCCAGGGTCCAGTTCAGAAGATAACTTGCTTGTTTGTTTTTGTTATTGGGGATGTTTCTTGCAGTATAGAAAAAAGATGTAACTTATATCTGAGTCTGTAAAGTATCATTGCGTAGTGCACACAACATGTCCACTTTTAAGATTATTATTAAAGTTCATGTTTTATTTTATTCAAGAATCCTTGGTGTGTTGTTATAGAGGTAGGTAAATGTTTTTCATGATATTTGGGGGAAATTTGTTAGGGTTTTTGGATGGTATGGGAATGCATTTTTATTTCCCCTATTTAAAATAGTGGAATAGGAATGCCTGGTATCTAACATTTACTGTCCAACACATTTGCACATTTTTCGAGACATTGGATTGTAATCTGTATGGCTTCTGCAAGTCAAAGGTGTGACCAGAGGTGACATTCTGGAACTGAGGGCGGTGAACTACAGCCTCTTGCTAAGTCCACCCACCTGTTTTTTTTGTTATTAAGAAAAAAGAAGGTTTTATTGAAGTACAGCCAGCCTGATCATTTATATACTTTCTGTGGCTGCTTTCCCTACAACGACGGAGTTGAACGAAACCTAAAGTATATGCTCTTGGGTGCTTTCCAGGATGAGTGCTGACCCTACTGTAGGACTAAGCCAAGAGCCAGATCATAAAGGGCCTTTATATTCCATGATAAAAAGTTTGATCTTCATCCTGTGCATCATGGAAAATCATTGTTTGAAGCAAATGGCTGAGATGATCAACTTAATGCATTTTTAATTCTTTAAAAATGGTTAAGAAGGCAACCATTTTTAAATAACCATGGTAGCCATTATGGTCACCATGAGAATGGATTTTGGAGGATAAGACTCAAAGTAGAAGAGTCAAGAATCTAGGACAGTGATCTTGGTCCTAAGTGATGGTGGCCTGAATTATAGTAGTGTCGTGCTGTAGGCTCAAGTAAGCTGAGGACTGAAAGGGAACCACTAGATTTACCAGCGAGTTTTTGTTTCCTTCATGGTTTTTTCTTATAACAGCTTTATTGAGATATAATTCACATACCATGCAGTTCACCCATTTAAAGTGTGTGATTCAGTGGTTTTAGTATATTCACAGAGTTGTGGGACCATCACCACAATCAAATTTAGAACATTTTCATCACCCATATCCATTAACAAGTACTCTTCCTTTCCCTGCACCCCAAACCCTAGGCAAACGCTAATCTACTTTCTGTCTCTATAGAGTGTCCTATTCTGGACGTTTCCTGTAAATTGAATCATACAATATTGTGGCCTTTTGTGACTGGCTTCTTTCACTTAGCGTAGTGTTTTCAAGGATCATCCAAGTTGTAACATGTATCAGTACTTCATTTTTTTCTCTGAGGATGATTCGCCCTGAGCTACTATCTGTACCAATCCTTCTCTTTTTTTTTTCTAAGTGGGACAATACCCTCGCATGGCTGGTAAGTGGAGCAGGCCCACACCCGCGACCCTAGGTGGAGCATGCAGAACTTTTAGCCACTCAGTTTCAGGGCCGGGCCCTTCATTCCCCTTTATTGCCAAGTAATATTCCATTCTATGAGAACCACATTTATTTATCTGTTCATCAGTTGATGCATATGTGAGTTGTCCTTGGTGATGTTTTTAGTGAAGTGATGTGATAAAAATGAGTTTGCTTTGGGGTAGGGAAGAGGAAGTGGAAAGTATAAAAATGGAAGAGTGTCGGTGGCCTTTTCAGAAGACTTGGCTCTGCAGGGAAGGAGAAAGAGGACCCGTGAAGAAAGAAAACAGTCCAGAAAATAATGGGTGGGTGGGTTGGTTGGTTGATTTTCAAAGATAGGGTAGCTTTGTGTAGGTAAAATGTCCATGATAAAGAACCGCCTAAGAGGGGTGGTTTAGGATATTGGGAAAGACACACCAAAGAACTGATGAGCACGTAAGACCCAGAGCCATGCTCTCCAAGAGAATTTCCTGTGATGGTGCAGATGTTCTCTAGCTGACATGGGGCTGTTGCAAGGAATCAAATTTGTGATGTAATTTTCATCACTTTGGATGTAAGCAGCCACTTCTGGCTAGTGGCTGTGGTGTTGAGCAGCTCTGGGGCACAGGTGAAGGGGTTGGCTTCAGCAGCGTGAACAAGAGAGGGGGGCCAGAGGGTCTGTCTGTGTGAACTGGGTGAGGAAGGTGAGCAGGTGGGCCGTCAACTGGCAGGGGTGCCCAGCTGGTGGCAGGTTGGAGAGTGGCCTAAGGATTCAGCCCTCGGCGCTTTGGCATCCAGAAACACCTTGGGGAGTGGCCACTTGGGGAGGAAGATCAAAGAAAAGGTCTTGGAAGGGAAGAAAGAGAGGTGAATGGTGTGTTTAAGGCTGCTGTGAGGTCCAGAAGATGGGAACTGTGAGGGACGCACCTCTGCCCACTGCAGTGCATTGAGCCGGGTAGTAAATTGAATGCATGCTCTGCTTAGAGCTCAGTGTTCAGGGACGATTATTAACTAGCTTTATCATCTTTAAATGAATAATTAAGAAATGTTGGTATTGTAATTATTTTCTGTAAGAATCGGAACTATAACCCTTTTCAACTGTATATTAAAATTCCTTTATCTATCATATTTGTAGTTCTGTTCTCTGTAGTCCATGTTAAACAGACCTGCCACTGTTCACCTTGCAGCACAGTATATGGAGTTGCCCATTTGAGAAGCGGCTTAATTAAAAATCACTGCCTGCCAAGCAGACTCTGCTCTTGTAACTTTTTTTTAAAATACCAGCTTTTTTGAAATATAATTCACGTTCCTTAAAATTAAGCCTTTTAAAGTGTACGTTTCAGTGGTTTTTAGGATATTCACTGAGGTGTACAGCCGTCACCACTACCTTATTTCATAATAACGTCATCACCCTAGAAAGGAAAGCCCATGTTCCTTAGCAGTCATTACCTATCCTGCCCCAGCACCACCAGCCCTAGGCCACCACTAATCTACTTCCTCTCTCTGTGGATTTGTCTTTTCTGGGCATTTTGCATAAATGGAGTCATACAACATGTGGCCTTTTTGTGACTGGTTTCTTTGGCTTAGCATGATGTTTAAGGTTCATCAGTGTTGCAGCATGTGTCGGAACTTCATTCGTTTTTATAGCTAAATGATATTCCATTGTATGGTTATACTGCATTTTGTTTATCCATTCATCCATTGATGGACATTTGGGTGTTCCCACCACCTTTTGGCTGTTATGAATAACTCTGCTATGAACATTTGTGTACAAGTTTCTGTGTGGAGATGTATGTTCATTTCTCTTAGCCAA